CAACCCATGCATTTGGAATGCCTAATTCAAAGGCAATTCCCTTGTGCAACTTCTTCTAGACATGGCATAGTGGACCATTCACTCGAGGTTCCCACACGACATTGCTTTCCACTGCTAATTCTATGTCTAATGCTGCTGACTTAGGGATCCCTACCAAGTCGACTGGCATGAACACTCAATCCAAGCCCAAGGCCTTCCCATAGGGTTTTGTCTGTGTGGGGTTCCACATATCTCTCTTGTCCACATATGCAACACCATATCTAGAGTGGCCTTAAGGGCCAACTCCAATCGTTCCGCACGGTGTCCAAGGAAGTCGTGATGTATTACTGCACATGTCCATCAAATATACAATGCAAAACGCATGGGGACGCGAACACACACCCTTTAGAACGTTTGATTAACATATATGGCAGATGCCCCATGTATAAATATGTTCTTGTAGCCCCGTTAGCAGCCGCTGGTTTCCGAAGGCGCTGGGGTCGCCCTATCCTGTAGCTCAGCTGTTGGAGGTCAGCCGGCCCTCTCCACCTTGGACGGTGGGCGTATTCAGGGCAGTCGATTTGGCAATCAGGCAGTGAGCCCAGTGCTTGATGGGGATCGATCCTTGGGGCCTGCTATTGGCGAGAGGTGGTGGCACAGCACGGCGGTGGTTTGCTAGCTCACAGAAGGCCAGAGAGTGGGCCAAAGAGAGTTAAATCGATTCACTACATGTGCACGCACATATCGCATGCACGATGCCCGATCGTAGGTCCATCACGGTCACATCAAGACAAGGCAACATAGTGCGCATCTAGGCACATCGTCACCATCCCCCATTCATCCACGATCGACCCATTTCTCCCTCGACTTAAGTACTAGCCCATACACTTCCACAACCCTCAGTACTACAAGTTCGCAGGGCCATAACTTCATCAATACTTAATAGATTTGGGCGTTTCAAAAGCCTAGGAGCATCAAGAACTCCTGAATAAGCCCGCAAAAGGGTTAATTTATAGAGAGTACTAACTAACACTCTAGAAAATGCCAATGTAGTCTAACCTTAAGCAGCCACGCCACATGTGTTATTTGGGGTGGTGGTGGACCCATCGACCCACAGTCGCCTACCAGGTTGTTATGTGAGGCATTCAGCATCATGTTTGGGCCAACCTTGGCCCATGACGAACATGGGCGACCTTCAGCAATTAGCCATCATGCCTTCAGACGTATTGCAATGCTGTATCAAGTTTATTTTCTTGCATTTTTATCTTGTTCTTTTTCATTGTACTTTTTGTACTCGTTGCAATTGCTCAGTACGCCATCCCTGTTATTAAACATCAAGGACAATCAAGTTTATGATTATGGATAGCATGGGTACCAGCGGGTGGGGACGACTAGCTGTCCCATGATCCAATAGGTGTCCAGTTTCATCAATTTGTATCATGGAAATGCATTTGCTCCTGACAAATCAGGGGCGTATCTCCAACCATGGCTGCCATGCTGACTGCATGCCTATTACCCTTTCGGGAGCACACCAATTTCTTAACGGTTTCTACATTCGGGGCAGGCTAACTGTCCGAAGTCCAGAACATCATGAAGTTAGAGTAATTGGAATCTCACAACATAACGCCCACCGTTCGTCACCAGAGTGGGCTGCATTCTGGCAGGGATCGTATCTCGAACTTGCGATATTTTGACACTACAAGCATTAAATTATTTTCCTTCATGTAAGGGGGTAGTTCTTAGTAACTTTAAAAGAGAGATGAGCATCCCTTTTAGCTGCCATATTGTAGTTTTCTATACACATCCTTTGTTATCAAAAACCAACAGCTTTCTATAGAATTGGACAGCCCCTATCTAGTGCCATTCTGAGAAGTCTCCATGCTATAGGTGTACTATATTATATATTATGACCTTCTGCATACTGTATACCAAAAAATTTTCGCGGGAGAAAAATTTTCGCGCATTTTGCGGTCGAGCCAGTGCGCGAAAATATTTCTCCGCAAAAATTTTGGTCCCGCGAACTTTTTTCGCCCGCAAACTTTTCGGCACCCCTCAGGGGTGGGTCAGGCGCTGGGCGCGCAGTTTGACCTCTTGGCTTTGCGCTGCGGCGTGTGGCCCCTGCCGAGCGGCAAAGAAGCCCTGAACTGGCCAGCGGGGGGTTCGCAGGGCAGTGGCCATCGGCTGGCCGAGTCTCCATGGAGCCCACAAGTTTTTGGGACCATTTCGAGGGCACAGGCGCAATGTGGCTTGCAAAGCGATCGGCGACCGAATCTGTGCCTGCATCGAGCCCATCAAACGCGCAAGGAGCGCACCCTGGGGACGTCCCACAGGGTGGCTCTGGATGCGGCGCGAATGCTGCGGCGCATGTCGCCTCTCATGGGCACCCATTCCCACCATCGGCGGGTGCCATTTCAGGCGACCGCGGGTGATAGGAATGGGCGCCTGCGAGGCGCCATTCCTGCTGCGCCTCTTCCGCTTCATGGGCGCCCATTCGCGTCGCCTGCGGAGGCCGTTCCAGGCCACCGCGGAGGGCGCGAATGGGCAGGCGCATGAGGGCGCGCCTGTCGCGCCTATCGCGCCTATCGGCTGGCCATTCGCGCCACCGACCGGGGCGATTCAAGGCAGCGCAGGCGGCGCGACTGTGCACACGCGAGGCGCTTAACTTGCGACGCATCTAGCTCCTCGGGCTGGCGCCCACCCGGGCCACCGGCGGGACCCATCCTAGGCCACCGCGGGGGGCGCGAATGGGCGGCCGTGAGGCGCCGATCCGGGCGCTCCTCCAAGGCCTCGCGGGTGGCCACTCGGGCAGACCCTGCTGGTCGCCCACTACGCCAAAGGACCCTCAGTTTGCTGGGCCTCCGAGCGGGCTACAGCCAAGGCGGGCACCCGCTGGTACCCCAGGTCGCGCAGCGACAAAGTTCGCGCGGCAGAAATTTTCGCGGGAGAAAAATTTTCGCGCACCGACGAGTGCGCGAAAATATTTCTCCGCGAATTTTTTTTCCCGCGAAATACGCAAAATTTTTTCTCCGCGAAAATTTTTTGGTATACAGTATCATCACCTTTTTCCTCATAACATGCAGCCCATATCAGTGGTGCTAATCTGTTTACTTTTGAATCCGAATTCGCTGCTCTTACTCCATTTCTTTTTTTTCTTCCTTTTGGTCTCTTTTTATACTACCAGCGTTAGCCAAACAACTGTGAACGCACAATCATTCTGGTCATGGCAGACCAATCTCTTACTTTTTTTGTTTGTGGTCATATAGCCTTACCCCTGTGTCATGATAGACACTTACAGTTTGAGGTTTACTATTTGCGACGTGTCTACTACCTTAGCCGCTGTAATTATCTAACAGATTTTTATTTACAATCATCAGCTATATTAGGTACAAGTACACGAATCGTCCAGAAAAGCATCATTGAGTCGAACATCATCATTCTGTACCATAATCAATATGTTTTCTTATAAAATGTCCTAAATACAGTTCTCTCACACTCAAAGACCCTTGAAACCACGGTACCATCAACTTGTCAAGCTTATAGATAACCATTCTATAGACATATGCTGTGATGGCAACCTTAACCCTCTTTTAGGCATCATGTCCATAGGTTATAGAAAAGGCTCCTTTCAGCCGTCTTCTTTTAAAAGAGCAAAAATCGGTGATCAAACAACCCTGCAGCTAGGTGGCCCAAATTCTTCGGAGTAGCTTCTTGTCCGGGCCTGCACCATGCTTTCCACCGACCGGAAGCAGCGACTGTACCACCAACACTTATGTCTTAGTTCCAAATCTCGACAAGCGTGATTTTGAAAACGTAGCTGTGGCAGTGAATTCCATGACCATGTGTGCATAGAAGCCGCACACAAACTCTTCAATACGCATTCCCTTTTTTCTCTTTTTTTCTTTCAACATATCTTTGGCCATTAACACTGCTCCGTTTCCACTGCCTTCTGATCATCTCCTAATCATGTTTATCAATTCTTTTCCCCAAATTGGACTGGCTCTTAGCATTGTACCACTCAGCTTTTCCGTGTCCGTCATCAAAACACATTATATTATAATAGTGCTCATCATATTTAACAATATGTATTTTCTTGGCGTCAATGGCTCCCCTCCCAACCCGCTCAATGTCAATTTGATGTTAAGCGTGCCAAAATCAAAATGGTGTCTTCCCTAGACTAGCGCATTGTGCCAAGAGGCTTGCACATTGTACCTGTGTCCAAGTGCGAATAGTGTCGCTGGACAAGATTTGCAAGGCTTTGGCTGCTAGAGAAGCTGTGCCGCATGGGCTTGTGCAGCGCAAGCAAAAGCATCAGTGGCTGTGGCCGAACTGGTCGCGAAGAATTAGCCATGCTGTGTCCACTGCGATGTTTAAAACATTAAGCTGCTCCAATACTCTTGTACACAGTAGAAGTCGTGTCCAGCTACCCGTTGCGTCTCTGCTACATGATATCAGCTGATGAGGCTGGGCGCAACACCAGCTGATGAGGAGCCACTGGCAGCTGACGAGGAGGCATTGGCTCCCATCAGGATATCCCTCCTATTCTTTTTCCTATTCAAAATTGCCGCGCTGCCAAGAGAGAATTTGCGCCCGCCCCAAACCTGGCATTTTTCAGCGCAGAAATGCTCATGCTGACGACAGACGAATCCATCATGGAAACTTGAATCTTCCCATTAACCGTGTCCTGCAGTCGTTGCTGATATGCACAGGGCTGGCATGCAAGTTTAACGACATGGGACCAAATCTCTACCTTGATGGACACAGAGGGCAGGGGAGGACCCGAACATGCACATCAATGCTGACATGGGATGCACAGATGAACAGATACAATAATCGCCGTGTCTGGTTGCGCTGTCGGCGCTGTCCTCTAACAGAATACTCAAAAGCACCATGCAGAATTCGAACATGGAAGCATTCCTATGCTGTACAAATGCAATTCACAGCGTCACAGCGCCAGCTGTTGCATCAACGGCGATCTTGCAACAAGCCTCCTCCGTGCCTTCTGGCGATAGACCGCAAGCACCATGGCGCGGTCCTCAGACAGCGGATACGACCCTTTTGATGACGATGATTGCTGTTCCAGCGCACCTCCATCCACTATGGGATACTCCACGGGGTACACGACGTGCGGAACGGACGAAGAAATGGAGCTGTTTGATGACGAAGATGAACCAGTTAAACTGCTACAAGGCCAGTTGTGATGGGAGGGTGGCGGCCTCTTGTTGGATGCCAGGCGCTAAGGCTGTCAGCTGCAAGGCAGTTTGCTGTGCCCCTATGCATTTGAGCAGTGCATCTGTTCCTGCATGGAGGCTTGCCGGCGTCACTGCAACCATCGCCAGATTTTTGTCCTTCTAATCTGGTTGTTTGCCACGCTGCATTACTGCACATCATTGCAATCGTACGTGGAGGGTAGCTGCTTGTACAGTGTCCTGGACCAATTATTCGCCCAATCGTGACCGAAATCCTTGCGTCTACCGCTTTATTCATCACAAGTGCTGGGCACATTTGGAACCAACATCGCAAGCGGATTCCCATGTATCTGCTGTAAAGTAGGCTGCAAGATTGTGTTTTTGGTTGTATGGCATGCGAGGCCACTATTGGCAAGATTGTAGGTGCAAGAGCAGCACTGATCTATTCTGGCAAAACACCAAGTCAGCTATAGTACACGACAGCTTTTGTATTGGTGGATGTGCTGGGACTCTGGTGAAGGACTCTCTGTGACTGAAGCGGGACCCTAAACAGCACTGTGCCACCACAGCAGAGCATTGAAAGCTATGATGTTGCAGTTTTGTTTGCCCTGGTTTCAGTAATGTGTCATTTTGTGAGTCTACCATTGACCTGCCTGAATTTGTTTTGCAAGGGGTTCAGGAAACCCCTAGGAAGCTAGAGGAGTAGACAGAGGTTGTGCTGTTGTACAGACAACAACAGTCAGAAGCGACTTTGGCTGCATGCGATCGGCACTGTGTCGGAATCTGTTGCCTCTGAGCTTGCTGCAATTCCAATTTACACATGAGACAGATATTGCCAATCGGCAATTGTACAGGCCTGCAATTCTGACAGTAGCCTCTCTTCTGTAAAGCAGGAATGATGAAACAGCATGATCAAACTACTGAGGCAGCAGTTCAGCAATTTGAGATCCTTCGAATGAAGAAAAGGGAAAAAGAACTGGCTGAAGAGTCAGAGTCGGTGAATGATGGTGATGAAGATGATCGTGAACGTGCTTGCCATCTTGAACAGATCAGGGCCATTGATGAATTTGACAAGACATTTGGAAGACTAGATAAGAGGTGGGTTTCTTGTGAAACTGCACATCTTTCTCACACTCACAAGCCCAGCAGCAGGTCTTTTGACAGGGCAGGATTGTGGCCTGGAAATGGATCAGTGCCGGATGATGTTGTGGCACTGCTGCTGCAAGTGCAGTGAGCAACTCTTCCTGAATAAGGACAATCTTCTCTGGTTTGCGGTGCAAGGACCCGTAAGGGAAGGAGGCGAAGGAAGCGGACAGAAAGGAGTGGAAAGTTGGCTGATGCTCGAAAAATGATGGCTGAAGCTACCCTGCTGTTTGCAAGAAGCGAGCTTGAGGAGGCGTCTCGACTGTGCATGGATGTCATTCGCCTGGCACCAAATACAGCTGATGCTTTCCACACAATGGGGATGATCATGGAAGCCAAAGGCAATCCACGCAGGTGTGAGAGACAGTACACACTGTGGCTTGGAGATTTGCTTCAGACACGTGTCAGACCTTGTGGATGCAGCCTTACGCACAACAAAAAGCCAGCTGCTGCTGAATGAAACATGACATCTTGCCCCCAAAGATGAGGGCACTGTCCTGTTCTTGTAAAGAATGATGCTGCTTTGTGTACTGTGTTGCTGTAGCCTCAACGGGCAGTGGATAGCTCCAATAATCTTGACCTACGATCACACATTCTGTCTCAGAATCGTTGTTGGTTGTGGGGTGCTGTATTCATGCCAGCTTTCTTCCACATCCTTTCACTCACATAGACAGTCTTCAGTTGCAACCTCCAGTCTGAGCGTCATGGTTGATGGTCAGGTGTTATGGCTCTAAGAGACTTCAAGCAGAATGAGTTGCCACTGGAACAATGGGGACCATTGACACGGGCTGTCCAGTTGCCGGAGCCATGCATGAAGTTCTAGATGTGTCTAAGTTGCCCTTTTCGGGCTGCCAGTGTCAATCTGTTTGTTTCCAAGGTAACGCTATTCACTGCCTGATGCATTGCTGCCCAGGGCCCTAGATTACTTCATGATAGCAGTCCACATGACGCCAGGAGACTTGAGCCTGTGGAAGCGGCTAGCCCTTGTGTCTACAGAGGTAGGATTCCTGCGCCAGGCCATCTATTGCCTCACAAGGGTCATCAAAAGGGATAGCGACGATCTGGATGCACAATGGGATCGGGCCCTACTTTATGCAGAAGTCAAAGAGCTGGGACGTGCTACAGAGGCCTTTGAACATGTGGCTCAAATGAGGCCAGGCGATGCTGGTGAGTTACTTCATTGAGCAACACTGGCCGTGCATTGCCAAATCCTGTACTGCTGTGGAAAAATAGCAGGGGCACCTGATGGTCAAGATCTGAATGGCGACACCAAGAGCAGAATGCCCATTTTTTTCGGCCCTTGCTTCTGCAGAAGTGCTGTGCTCCTGAGTCAAAATGTTGGTGCCTGAACTGTTCTATCTATTAGTACCAACAAAAGGCCGCACATATACTGCACTAGCCGTGGTAAAGTCCCCCACACGATCTATCTACTATGCAACTCTGTATTGTGCTTGCAGGCCAGTGCAAAAGTGGTTGCCAGCAGGCTGAGAGAATGCATAGCTCTCATTTCGCTGCAAGGCTCCATTGTCAACCCCATCGCCCCACATCACCTATGCAAGGCCACTAGGCGCAATTTTTTTTTGCAACGACACAAAGGCTCCTGAGTTCTTCAATCCCATCTCCCACGAAACCATCTTCAGCTGGGTGTGTCATGTGCAAAGTTTTGAAGTTCCTTGAAGTTCATGCCAGCACTCGTGTTGGGCTTCCCTTTTTGATCTCAAATCCTCTGCTATTTGTGCAACCAGAATTTCTTCTCCGCAGCTGATCTTCTGCTCTCATGATCGATTCATGATTTCAACTCTGTGTTGTGTTTTTTGCAGAGGTGCCCAAGATGCTTGCGAAATTGTACCACAGGATGGGTCGATCACAGGCTGCAGTTGAAGTCCTGGAAAAATTCTTGTTGGAGTACCAAGCCCAGACAGATCTTACCCACATTAACATTCTTGCTGAGTTGTATCTATTGCAGGTATTTGTTGATCTGGAATGGCATGTGGCACAGTGCAGCATCTGTCCAGCCCTCATGTAGTGCATTTATGGAATCACTTCTTCCCTTGTATGAGCATTCTATCAATTCCAGATGGCAATCTGTTGCCAAAGCCAATCCCTGCCCTTGTGTCATCTACACTAATGTATTTCCCTGTGAAAAGGGTGTGTTCCCCATGAATAGATGCCAGAGTTGCATTGAAGAATGAATCGGGAGTCCTCAGTGCTATTGTGAAGGACTGCAACAGTTGCGATCACATCTTAGGATACAGATATGGCCAAGCAAACTTCCCTGATGGGCTGTTGGAAAAGCTGCAATGATTGCATATATCTCATTTTTAGAATTCTGTTCAAGCTGCGTGATGTCAGTACCTCAGAACACCATTTTATGTGAATCGACATTATGCTGCCTTCAGGGTCGGTATTCTGAGACATCTGCTCTGATAGAGCGCACAGAGCGAGTGCTGTGCCATGGACAGCTGCTTCCCATTGATCTACGTGTCAAGGCTGGAGTGTGCGTAGCTCACACTGGAAATTTGCCTGATGCCGAGAAGCATCTGCAGCAGTTGCTTCTTGAGCCAGTGAATGACTATCCCGATCTTTACATGGAGGCAGGGGATGCATTACTGCGGTTGGGCCATTTGCACAAGGCCAACGAGTTTTTGGAACAGTTGTTGCGGTGCCCAGAGTCAAACAACAGGGGCCTGTGGACGAAACTGATCAAATGTGCAAGGCCTGGTGCTGGAGTGCTGGGGGCGGTGGCAGTGTACAACAGAGTGTTGCAGAGCATTGATGTCTCGCATCCAGGCTACATTGAGGCAACCCTTCTTTGTGTGGAGGCATTGATTGAAGCTGAAGACTTCAATGAAGCAGATAAAATAATGACCAATCTGCACAACTTGATGAATGACAATAAGGTGTGCTGAGATTGTGCTGTCCTTGGTAAAGTTGAGCTGCTCCATGCCCTCTTACTCTATAAAATTTTCAGGGCTTTTGGTGGCGACATGGCTTGTTGATTTTTCAGGTGCGGCTTGTTGTTGTTGTCATTTTTATCTGCACGGTGCTGTGCTGTGTTGGTGCTGTGTTCAGCTGCATTTGCTGGCAAGCATTTCTGGTCCATGTCAGGCCTTTCAGTTGGGCGAATCTGACTTGTCGATTGTCTCTCAGTAATAGCTGTTGGATGTAGGGTTGCAGCCCCCCTTGGTTACTGGTTGGTCACAAGCTGACCTTGCTTAATGTGCAGGTTCATGTACCGGAGGACCGCGATGCAAGAGCCTCACTGCTGCTGTGGAAGGAACGGCTTAGGCTGGCTATTGGGAGAGATTACAGCTTCTTGGATCACATGGTGCCGGTAATTGCCAACACAGTCAAGCTCCTGAGGAGTCAGGCCGACAACCCAAGGAATGTTCAGCTGCCCCACGAGTTTCTTCGGCTTCTTGGGAAGCAAGCTGAAGCGCAGGTTTCAACGGTTTCCGGTGCTGCATCTGAGGCCACAAGTGCTGTGACTGGAGGAAGCGATGTTGACACAGGCGGGTCGCCTATTTGGTCTGCTCATTGAACAGTTGGGAGAGCTGCACTCATCTGACAACGCCATCATCAACACCAATTGTTGTACAATTGAGTAAGGGGAACTGGGGTTGATGCATAAGCTTAGTCAATAGAAATCGTCTATGTTGCTGTGCATATGGAAGCAATAGTCTCCCTGTACAGGTACAGCTGATCCTTGATTTTGATTGGGTGCCAAAAGTTGTGCATGCCATTTTGCCTGCAGGGATGGAATCCGAGGCTGTGTTCAAGGGCCATAGGCACCACCGTCGGGAGAAGTATTACAGGCGCAGAATGGAGGCTTGCACGGGTGGAATAGATGGAGAGACAGACGTGGAGGGTGGTGAACAACCCGCAACATTGACTCTGGATGGCATGCTTAGGAATGACGACCAATTCGACATGCTTTTACAGGTAGAACGCATTGCCGTGGTATGGGAATGCTCAGCGCCGTTTGCATGTTCTTGAGGCAAATTCGACAGGCAATCTTTGAAACATTCTATGTGCCACCCATTGCCCCTGGGTTATTCTTCACTCACCTGTCACATGTCCGTCAATTGGTACATTGGGTGTTGATCACAATATTTGGATTGAATGATCAAACGCTGAATTGGGGAGCATTGTGTTCATTCAACAGATGAAATACGGTTGCACTCTGCTTTGGAGTAGAAAACTGGCCGGCCATGATTAGAGCGAGGCGATTGGCAGCCATGCACCAGGTCCACTGGCGCCATTGAGGGTGTGCCTGACTAGTGTGCTCTTCCAGGCGGGTTTGGAGTGGCAGGATGTCAAGAAGGCCTTCGCAGTATAGGTGCCGTGGGGCATTCAACTGTCAACTCAAGTGTGAAAGTGGTGGGGACGGCAATACACTGGGTGGCTGGTGGCATTGCACCTCTACCCTTGTGCGAGAGTCTGCCATATGTGCTTGTGACAACAGAAAACCTGAGTCAGTATTCTTGCGTTGCGTGCATTATTTGCAGGTGATAGAGGCACTTGAGACAACAAATCGAGTTGGTGAAGCCCGATCTCTTGCTGAGTGCATGTTGCAAATCATATTGTCGTCAAGGGGAAAGCATTACAAAAAAGAATTACGCGATGTTCTTCGTCTGCGGCTGGCAGAACTGCAGTGCAAAGATGGAAACCTCAAGGAGGCTCTAATTCATCAGAAGCATGTGTGCATGAGGTGGCCAAACAGCGTGAACGCATGGAATCAGTTCTCCAAGATCGTATGTCAACTTGGAGGCGCCCAATGGTGAGCAGTGTATTCAGTTGGCGTCGCGCTGGAGATTCTGTCCGTCGGCATGGCAGTGAATCTTGCACTTGCTGACGTCAAGTGGTGGAAATTCAATCATTGTGATGATGCAATGCTGGGATTTGAATGCTGTGCGGTATACGGAGCATTCTCCAAATGGAAACGCAAACCCCATTTGTGCAAGCACAGTTGGACTTGGCAATGACAACAAGTGGACGTCTTTCTGAAGGATTTCGCATTTGTGAAACCAGCTGGTTGAGCTTGGCTGGTCTTGTCTCATGAACTTTGAGATCTTTCAGGTGCTCAATGTGCATGATTTGGCGCTCTTCTCATGCATTCCAAAGCGCGCAATGCTCTTGTTGAGTGATGTATTCTGTGGCCAGTGCGCAACGGCCAATAGCTCAACGATATTTGAAAACATATCCAGGCTTGTTCATTGTCGTCTACAAAAGCCGCAACCAATCTTCCTCAAGCTTTTTCTCGGCCTTCACGAGGTGAACAACGGGTATCATGCAGGAAATGATTTTCATGAAATGAACACGATGTTGACCCAGGGACGATATTGGAATCAGCCAGTCGATCCCGTGCCGAAGACGACGAGTTGCGTTGCTGTTTACCTCCTGTAGGCAATGGATCGCTACGGAAATTGGGCCAACAACGGAGAAAGATAGATGCACATGCCTTGTCGTGAAATGCGAGAGGTTTTGCACATCATTTGCCAACGGCTCCAGCGCTAGTGTTTCAACTGTGTAAGAATCGCCAGCTCACGCCAATGGCGGTGTCATCTGCTGGTGGCATGTGCTGTTACCTTATGCCAGTGCCCACGCATTTTACGACGCATCTAGCGTAGTTCGCTGCGGTAGTCGTGTAACACAAAATCTGTTTGGACGCAGGATCGGCAAGTTCCTGACAGCCTCACGGCAGAAATGCCCAACGAGTGTGCCAGGGATTCTGATGATGGGTCACATACTTTCAGTAGCTGGACAGCACGGAGGCGCCCTCGGAGAGTATTTCCAGGCGTATCGGTTACTGCCGCAGCATCCCTTGATTATTTTGTGCCTGGGTGTTGCCTTTGTAAATCACTCAATGACGCGGCACGTTGGTGACAGGCACCGCGCCATTCTCAAAGCATTTGCGTTCTTGGAGGCGTACGAAAGAGCAAGAGGAAATGGACAAGTAAGTGCTTGCCACAGCAGGGTGAATCTGGCCCATATGCAGTAAGGAGGCTACAATGATGCGGAGCTACGGCGCAGCCGAAAGCATCCCATTTGAGATTGCTGCGCACGCTGCTTGGTTGCTGAAATGCATGCTTACAGGTGCTGATGCGTGTGGCAGTCGTGTCTTTCTTTGTCGGTCGGATTTTTGCGGCATTCTTTCATGTGTTTACTTTGTTTGACTCCTGCTCGCGTGCATATGGAGCACGCTGCTTGGGAGATGCTGCCAGCACTGGCAACTAGTTGGTACTGGTAAGGGAAGACGTTACGTCGATGTTGGTAAGCTTAACGTTCATTCGTCGTTAAGCAATACAGCCGTTGCAATGTGCTGATAAACGGGATGATGAAGGCCAATTCGGGTGATTGGGGCAGCCCCGATAGCTGTCTATTTGGGGTATTCGTGGGTCTTCATTCAAGTTTGAACGCTTGAGGGAGGTTTTGGACCAAGTCACAAGCTGTCTGTCTAGGATCAACGGCGTTTTTGTGCATTTTTCGCCTTGTGTCAATTACATAATCTCTTTATGTCAGCCCCCCCCCCCGCCTTAGCGTCAAATTGACGTTAAGCGTGCCAATTTCGACATGGCACCTTTCTTAATCCCCTGCTAGGGCTGGCAACTAGTTGCTATCTCTCTACTCCGCCCTTCTATTGCGAGAAACTGGCACTGAGAAACACCTCGTTTTGTTTGCCAAGGAGTCTGCATACAATGCAGCAAGAGCGGCTCACCAATTGGGGTTAGCGCATGTGGCGGTTCCCCTGTATGAGAGGGCCCTCCAGACCGAACCCCCATCCGCAGGTGAAGGGTGGGAAGGCTTTAATCCTCACGACTTGAGAAGAGATGCGGCGCACAACTTGGTGCAAATTTTAAAAGAATCTGGTGCCGTGGGATTGGCGCGAGAAGTCATGCAAAAGTACCTCACTATCTAGATGGCTTCATGCACACGAAACATACTTATGGAAGGGCATTTCGCACGAGACTGGTCTTATTGATATACCTGCGTGTACACAAGAGTCAGAGGATGAGTTTCGTGGAGTGGTTAAGAGTCCTACGTGTGCAGGTTAGAAAGATGCCGTGGAGGCTTTTCCACTCAAGCTGCCAGTGTCATCAGCAAAATTGAGCGCTTGCATTGCTAATGTTGCTCAACAGGCAGGCTTTGGGTCAAGATGGCAGCTAATGGGCTGTATTAATGCTGTTTTCTCAGCCCTACGAATTCTATTGCACATGTTGCCTGTGCATCTTTGAATAGTCGTCCCCTTGAAGGAGCAGTCGCTGGGTTCTGCCATGGGCATTTGCTCACAATACGAAGACTGTGAACTGTAGCAGCCACCCTTATGAGCAGTTGTGCTGACCCCAGCAACGGGGTGCTGACCTGTCTGTGCAGAGCTGCGTTTGGATGGCAGACTCTGACCCCAGTGCATGCATTAAAAATTGCGAAAGAAGGCTACCAGGTAGCACAGGACAAAAAACTGGCAGAAGGGCAAAACTTCTGAGACCCAACTACTTGCTCATTGGATATCTCAACGTCCAGCGCCTGATGTTCTACCCAACGAAGCACATGTCACCCAGTCGCTCTTGAACTGCGATATCGTTGTTCCAATAGCTTCAATGGTGTGGACATTGTTGGTGCACGCTTTAATTTATAGAAGAACGAGTGGCACACATAATTTGGCAATTGGCACAAGCCTACACACCAGCAACGGAACACACATTGCGACAGGCGTTGCCCGAGCTGTGCCAGCCTAGTTGCTTCCTCATCGCTGTTTGCGTCCTGTCCAGTGACAGGTCATTGCTAAGGCTGACTTGCCATAGTGTGCAGCACACAGCCTTGTCCAACGCTCTGAGTTTGTCCGATTTTTTGCACAAATCGTGTACTCTTGAGAGGGAACAATAAGCAAATAGCAAGTGGAGAAGGTGGGGGTGTTGTAGCACCTATACCACACAAAGTGTATCTGTTCCTCAAGCCGATGGTCAAGGACTCTGCCAAAGCACTTGGCATCAAACGTTTCCGCCTTCACACAGCAAAATCCAGAGCGCGTCATATCATCAAAATCCGTCGATTACATGTGGAGTGTGAGAGCGGCACATGAATTTTCAACACTGGTGAAACATATAGTTCTCAAGCAACTTCGACGTCATTTTCCAAGTTTCATCCATTTCGGAATGCCTTTCCTTGGCTGAACTGTGTTGCCAGCCACACCGCCATCTCTGCTTGGCTGCTGCCAGGCCCTCTCTGCTGGCTCCGATATGGCACCCTGTGGGGCATCTTGCTGCCCCTGCCAGTTTGGTGGGACACTTTTTTGCTGAAGCACCTCTGGCCGCAGCACGACCTCCCCTCCAACCCATTTACCATCAATGCCCACCGATACGTTTGCTGCAGGTGCAAGGTTGGCCTGCACCAGGGACATTTTCCTGTCCTTGAGCGCCTGCTTCGGAAACGCCGTGAGCTCCAGCTTTGCTCTGAAAGCCTCCAGCACGTGCTCTCCCAGCAGTTCGTACAGGGCTTCCACGAGTTCCGTGGCAGCAAAAGAGCTTTGCAGCACAAAGCCGTCCAAAAACTGAAACCTTATTCGCAAAGGCCCCAGTTCAGCGGCAGCCTTTCTCTGTTCCGCCTCCCGCATGGCACTGGTCATGAGCCCCCTCTCCAGCTTGCGCCTTGCAGCGTCATAGCTCGCCACCATCATCATTAGGTCCTCTCTTGTGACGTCGTAAAAATCGTCAGACTCCTCGGCCTGTGGATCCTGCCCGCCACCTGACAGGGCGTCTCGGTGGAACAAGAAGACGCCTCGTTCGCCGCTTAGAACACTGGACGACTCCCCTGCAGATGTCTGTCCCCCAGAGGTAGGGAACGACCTGTGATCCGCACTCTCGGAGGGCAGTGCGCACCGCTGCTGCCGTGCAGCCGCCGCGCACTCAGAGGTGGAGCTGGGGCCTGCCTGCCTGCCATCCGCACCGTCTGCATTCGTCCTCACTTGTGATGAGCCCGCCACAGAGGCGGGCGCATCTGACACGAGCTTCAGCTTCGTTCCGGAGGGGAGATTGGCCAGCCGGACGGAGAGAGAGGGGTCCAGGGTGCAGTTTCCTCGCACAAGGGAGCAGTTTGCCGAATCCAGAGGAGGCTTCAATCTGCTGCAAACGCTCGACAGCACGTCCACAATGGCCATCGTGGGCGTGGTCTTCACAGTGTATCGCCTGTTCAGGTATTCCACGACGAGGGTCGACATGTTGAAGGCTGGCCCCACAGGTTCCTGCAAACCGTGTGCACGAACGCCCCCCCACCAGCTCGCTATCTACCCACGATCCTTCCTTATGTCATCATGAGGATAGGTCTGCTCAATCTAGGTCAAAGGACGACCAATGCTGCAGAGTGTTGGGCGCCGTTTCCGGTTTGCCCCCTGTGCCCTCCTCACGGCACACCAATTGGCGATACCACTCCCGCCGCTTGACACTCTGTCCACAAGTACTGCTGGGGAGTTCACGTTGAACGCCAGCCCACGCACCAATTCACCCCGTGTGTCCCAAGTACCCCATCGGTTGCTGGCACACCTAGGTCGGCCTGTGAGACAGATCGTCCCGTGCTGGGCTCGGGCAACGATGCAAGCGCCGGCCCGAGGAAGGCGGAATTTCGCCCGGAAGTCTGCTGGCGCGGGCGGCGGGGCGCGGGAGCACCCTCAGGAGTATATTAAACTTGCCGTGCCCTGCGTTCGCTGGTTCTGTCCTGCCCCGGAACGAGAAGCGCACTAGCGCTCGCGGGCAGTAGCTATACCGATCCACGCGTCGAACACACACTTTTGCAACGAGCGAACGTATCCAAGCAGGTGAGGCTGCCGCGGATTGGATGTTTATGCCAGTCCGTTGGGTTCAGTAGGCTCCCAGATTCTGGCAATGCGCATTCAGATGCATGCACCACGGGTGCAAGAAACCCACGAGGCAGAGACTCCCATTCAAAGCCGAGACACGCAGCCACCGACCAGCGTTTGTGATTTTCTTGCCGTTCGGCGTTCGGGGTGCGCTGTCTCGTTCGTATTCACCGCCGATGTCGTCACCCGCACCAACTCGCAGATGTTCATTCGCAGCAGTTCCGGGGCCCACAGACGCGCTGTTTTTGGCGCTGTGCTTGCGCAATCCAAAGCCATTCCCACGTTGGCGTACTCTTGCAACTGTCCCGACTTTGTAATCGCTGCGCAACGCCGTCCGACATTGCTGTCTTTGTGCAGGTTTTAGCTAATACGGAGTTCACGCGCGACGGGCGGCATGGTGCCATGGCCTTTGCTGCTGCTGGTGTTAGGCCTGCAGCTCGCGAGCGCCAGGTGAGCACGAGCAACTACAGTTGCCTCCAGGCGTAGTGTGGGGGCCAGAGGAGAACATGTGATGCCATGTGTCGTGTCATTGACCAGCAGGTCCGTGTTGCTTGGTGAGAGGACAGAAATTTTGAATGGGAATTGCTGGAGGCCCTGGTGCTGTTCGCTGCTGCGACGAGGACAGGGCTCAGCTTCCCATTGCCAATGCGACGCCTTGCTGTTTCAACATATCAAGATACCGCCTCAAAATAGTGCGACGAGTTATTTCCTCAGAGTTCAGATGGATTTGCGTGCACGGGCTGGGCACTGGCTCTCGCTCATATATCTCCGTCCCTTCTTTTGAAGCCAGCCATTGATATGTAGGGCGGACAGACCGTTTGACACATTCGCGCACGTTTGCAGTACACGCCGTCCCTTGGGCCAGACTAAACTGAGTTGCACGTATTTTGACGTCGCTCAATTAACTGGAATCGCGCCACCATCCTGTTGAGACCAACTTCGATGGCTCTCTAATTGGCTCAGAACAAAAAGTTGCCCCAAATGGGGGAATGCATGCGCATTTGATGTCCAAACGTAATATCCGCATGCTGGACATCGTCCCCTTCGGGCCGCCCTGCAGTGCTGAAGAGACAGGAATTGGGTGGGAAGTGTGGAGGTGGGGGGCGTGAGGGCGCACTGTACAATTTATAGAAACACGACGAGTCGCAATTTTATCCGGCCCCCTAGTCTTGTGCTACATGACACAAGTGCAATGAAGCAACCACCCAGCTGAAGCTTTATTGATTGAACTACTGGCTCTGAGGACAAGCAGGAAAGATATCCCTTTATTCCTGTATGTTTGGATAGATAAATTTGACCGGTTGTGTTCTGCTGTCTATTCATATCTTGTACTATGCCACAATCGTTTCGTTTGCAGCATCGGAGTCAACGGTGGAGTTGTTTTGGCGATGGATCACTTTCATCCGACAATAATCATAACCGTTGACAGAACTTTCTTCTGCACAGACCGACGTCGCCCGCCACGGACATCTGTGCTTGCATCGACGTTGACTTCACCTCCCCCGGAGTTCAAAATGATCCATGCTGCGAGGCAATCAAGGAGAAGTGCAGGGACAAAACGCTGGGCGTGTCTTGTGGCGACATCTACACATTCTGTTTGGACAAGAGCCCTGCACCTGACCTAGGAGCACCGGTGGCGGAGCTATTGGTATCGGCCAATTGCCCCGGTGAGCACCTGCTGTGCATACCCATTCTTCCTCAACACTTGGCTTGTCAAGTTCCTTTGACTTCAAGGCTCACCCATTAGCATGTCGCCATGCGCGACAGCGCCGCCGTAGCGAGACCGCATGTTGTGAGCAACCTGGTTTAAGGAAACCGAGCGCAGCGCCTAACATGTGCCACGTGCACGGGACGAAAGTCACCATAGTCGGGGAGACAGTGCTTTTCGATGGAAATGATTATTGTCTTCCCACTTGGCTCTTGACCGAATCGCGCGCTCTCAAACTGAATAACGTGCTGTCACGCACAAAGCCGTGTATTGCTCTGAAGAGAAAATACACACTGTGGAACAAGCCTATCCATTATATTTTACAACTCTAGGCCGAGGTCACGTTGAAATCGCAGCGTTGCAAAGATGCCTGAATCAGTCGTGAGTATTTGAAAATAATTTACAAATCCTCACACGATACCAATGGAATAAATACATGATTTCCACGTTCGTGTTCGTAATATTCATTTTGCACACGATACGGGGCCTTGAAACGCTCCCCAGCCTTGAAGGTTGCTATGTCCCTTTGATTGAACTTCAGACGTTGCACCAATTAGGCGTTTTCATGTGACGCTTTCAATGCCGATCGCAGCATTCAGCTCAGACAAAGATCAGTAACGGTATGAGAAATTCATGCATTTCTGATTCTGGAGGCGCGGTTGGTCGCCAGGGAAGCTAAACAGGCAAACTTGTCGGATGTTGTTAAGTTGACAACCAAATTCTCCATTCAAGGGAGGCCCATGAATGCCCTTGGCTTGCTCTTCTCCTTAACGCCCAGTCCAACTACTGCATGTTTGAATCACGGCTGTGAAAAGCATGGAGAACTGGAATCCTGCGACTGCTGCCACATGCAGCTCCAGCACATTTCCCGGAAACCTGGACACCTGTTCACAGTGACAGCGCGACAAAAGCACGGAAACGCGGCAGACAGCACAGTTTCGATCTCACATTATTGCGTGCAAAGAACAGGCAAACGTCAAAATGTTGCCCGGTTAACAAATATTATCATCACGGTATCTGCTTTCTTTGGTCCGGTTGAGTCCTTTTGCACTCCCACGCATTTGCAAACGAGGCGTTGCCCCCGCCACGGTGTTGGAATATTGGAAAAGCACAAGACATGGCAGCGGATAGCAAGGACAAGAGGTATCTCTCTCGGTCCTTGGTATCCACACCAAAAGTACGCCGCAGTGATTCAAAAAAATATTGATTGTGATCACCGTCATGTTGAACGTACACTACACAACCTGGCCTGTCTTTGAAAGTGGTACAGTATGCAAAGTGCTTTGTGCTTATGGGATTCATCAAAGGTGTCAATGCTTAGTGAAAAAGTGTTATGATGGAACTCTGTGTTCTAAACGAGTGGGTGAACAGCGCCGTTGACTGGGTTGTGACAAACTGGTCATCGTGAGGGGTGTAACGCGAGAAGCATCCCGTCACGTAAGATGTGCACACAGGGCAACTAACGCGCCAAATGAGCTGAGACATTCTAATTTACAGATTTGAAATGCGTGAACGAGGTGAATGGACCAAAGCAGGACTGAACGCAATGCAACATGCATTTGTATCAACATGTACCCCAATGCATGACACGCCTCAGTAAGATATTCATAGATCCTTCCCATGTCGTGGATGTCGAAAATGGTGTGTAACTAAGGGTATGCATCACCAGGCTATCGGCCTTCGGTATCCTGGATATGTACATCATTCGAATATCAAGTCAAGGGATGTGCAAATTTTTTCCAACATGGTATCAACAATATGATTGTCATTGCCGGGCCCTGGGCACATGGCCCCAGCCTCCACACAGCTGACATCCACACCACCACTTGGCGGCTCCATCACCAAACCCCGCCAATTGGGAACAAAGGGGGTCGGTTTCCTGACGGTGCGCAAGTACTCAGCGACGGCCTTGCCCCCGCCTGAAGCGGCGTTCCTGTGCTGCAACTGCCCGCTGCAGGCGACGCCGAAGAGCCCGAAGCCGACGTCGCCGGCATCGCGGAACAGAGCGTCAGCGAGCCACAATTCCTCCCAGGCCCCCCGGGCCCGCCGGGTCCACCGGGCCCTCCGGGCGACAAGGGCGACCCCGGCGATGTGGGCCCCCCAGGCGAGGCGGGGCCACCGGGCGCCCCCGGCGAGAAGGGCGACGTCGGCGAGCCCGGGCCCCCGGGTCCGTCGATCAAGGGCGACACGGGCGATCCCGGCGTGCCGGGCCTGCCCGGGCTGAAGGGCGAGAAGGGCGATGCGGGGGAACCGGGCCTGCAGGGCGCGGACGGTGCCCCGGGGCCCCCGGGACCGGAGGGGCCGGTCGGTGTGCAGGGGCCGCCTGGGCTGCGCGGGCTGGTGGGGCCCAAAGGGGAGAAGGGCGACCCGGGGGTGGGCGAGCCGGGCGATCCCGGCGTTCCGGGCACCCCGGGGATTCGGGGCCCGCCGGGGGAGCACGGCATCCCCGGCGACAGCGGCCAGCCGGGTGTTCCCGGGGAGGACGGCGCGGACGGACCCCCGGGCGCGCCGGGCGTCCCCGGGGAGCCTGGGCCCCCGGGCGAGGGCCTGCCGGGACCCACGGGGCCCACAGGCGCCCCTGGAATTGAGGGTCTGCCTGGCCTGCCGGGATTGGACGGGAGCCCTGGCGCGCCGGGCGAGAAGGGTGACTCCGGCGCTCCGGGCATACCGGGCCTGGCGGGAGAGCCCGGCAGCCCTGGCGCGGCTGGGCCGCCGGGCCCAGCGGGGCTCGACGGCGCACCTGGACAGCCAGGCGGGCCGGGTGCTGATGGCGAAGATGGCGCGGATGGGGATGTTGGTCCCCCGGGTTTGCCCGGTTTGGATGGACTGAACGGTCTGCCAGGCTTGGATGGCCAGGATGGCCAGCCCGGGGAGCCGGGACCTGCGGGCCCATCGGGGGATCCGGGCGTGCCCGGCCTGCCTGGCGTGGACGGTCCCCCCGGGCCGGAGGGCCCCGCGGGCACCCCGGGCATCGAAGGAGCACCGGGCCCCCCGGGTGCTGACGGCGAAGATGGCGTCCCGGGTGCAGACGGCGCTCCAGGCATCGATGGCATGCCAGGCCTTCCTGGCCTGGACGGCCAGCCAGGGCCGGTCGGCCCCGCGGGTGCGGACGGCGCTCCGGGGCCCGTGGGGCCCAGCGGGACCGACGGCACTCCCGGTGTTGATGGCGCCCCAGGAGTCGACGGGATTCAGGGTGCGCCCGGCACAGAAGGTCTTCCGGGGCCCGAAGGCCCGGCGGGGCCCGCTGGTGCTGATGGGACGCCAGGCCTCCCGGGTCCCGCAGGGTCGGATGGCACCCCGGGCACTGACGGCACACCTGGCGATGACGGAGTTCCAGGTCTGCCAGGATTGGACGGCGCACCCGGCGCACCCGGCGCTTCGGGGCTGGACGGCAGCCCAGGGCCCTCGGGTGCCAATGGCTCCGATGGCGCTCCAGGAGCCGACGGCACGCCTGGCGTCGACGGGATTCCCGGGTTGCCCGGCGCAGATGGCCAGCCGGGTGCAATTGGCGCGCCCGGCGTCGATGGAGCCCCAGGCATTCCGGGAGCGCCTGGCCTTGATGGAGCGCCAGGCGCCCCAGGTGTTGACGGAATCCCCGGCGTTGACGGATCCCCGGGTCCAGCGGGCACGCCGGGTGTCAACGGTCTCCCTGGACCCGTGGGCCCGAGCGGATCTGATGGCACTCCGGGCCTGCCTGGTTCGGACGGACCCCCAGGGCCTGCGGGTACCCCTGGCGCTCCTGGAACGGATGGCCAGCCCGGCGCAGTGGGTCCGCCAGGTGAGGACGGGGAGGCAGGGGTGCAGGGCCCGCCTGGGCTGGATGGCATTCCGGGCGCGCCAGGAGCGGATGGCACCCCAGGGGAGCCTGGCCTCGACGGACTTCCTGGACTGCCCGGCTTGGACGGCGCTGTGGGCTCCCCCGGCGCACCTGGACCCGTTGGCCCCGCAGGGCCCTTGGGCACCCCAGGATCCGACGGAGAGCCGGGGCCTCCTGGGCCGGCAGGGGCGGTTGGCAGCGTTGGCACTCCGGGAGAAGATGGCACCCCGGGCGATCCTGGAGTGCCCGGCATCCCTGGCCCAGAGGGGCCTCCGGGGACTCCTGGTGCGCCTGGATTGGATGGCAGCCCAGGCCCGCAAGGTGTGGCTGGACCGCAGGGCTTGGTGGGCCCCGCCGGGCCCCCTGGGGCGGATGGAGCCAACGGCATTCCGGGCGAACCAGGGCAGCCTGGAACTGCGGGGATGTCAGGGCCGCCAGGAGAAAGGGGCGAGAGAGGACTTCCGGGATCCGATGGCGTCTCAGGTGCCCCTGGCGCCGACGGACTCGATGGCTTGCCAGCCACGCCGGGTTTAGATGGCATTCCTGGTGCTCCGGGTGCACAGGGTGAGCCAGGCGTTGCGGGAGTGCCTGGGCTGGATGGTCCCCCTGGTCCGCCTGGAGATCCTGCGCCGGTCATTTCTCCCCAGTCCCTCCCTGCAGGGCCTCCAGGTGCTCCTGGTCTTCCCGGCCCAGTGGGGCCGACAGGCCCTGAAGGTCCAGCTGGCCCTGGGGGGACAGATGGCGTTCCTGGCCTGCCAGGGTCACCGGGCAGGGATGGTGAACCTGGGCCTGTGGGGCCAGCTGGGCCCCAAGGTGCACAAGGCTTCGATGGAGTTCCTGGTTTGGATGGTGCGCCCGGCGCACCTGGCGCACCAGGCCCTGCGGGGACACCAGGCCAACCTGGGCAGGATGGCCTGCCAGCCCCCCCTGCGCCTCCTGGTGCACCTGGAGAAAAGGGAGACATTGGCGAGCCTGGGCCACCTGGCCAGCTGGGTGACAGGGGCGTGCCAGGCCTGCCTGGCACCCCAGGTGAAGACGGGGCTGCTGGTCCCAGCGGGGAACCTGGCTTGGATGGCGTGCCAGGACTTCCGGGATCACCTGGTTTGGATGGAGCAGACGGAGAGCCAGGCCTGGATGGACAGCCTGGGCTTGTGGGGCCGCCAGGTGCGAGGGGTGAAAAGGGTGACCCTGGCGAGCCCGGCGCCGTTGGTGCCCAGGGCGTGCCTGGGACAGATGGCACCCCGGGTGTGGATGGCATACCGGGACTGGACGGATCGCCTGGTGCTGTGGGGCAGCCTGGTCCGAAGGGGGATGCTGGCGAGCCTGGATCTGCAGGGCCACAGGGCGAGACTGGTGTGCCTGGCACACCGGGCAGCCCAGGTGATGATGGTGTCCCAGGCGCAGATGGTGCCCCAGGTTCAGATGGCGTGCCAGGGCTTCCTGGCACACCGGGTGTTGATGGCAGCCCTGGAGCTCCTGGGCCTGTAGGACCTGGGGGTGCGGCTGGCCTGGATGGGGTGCCGGGAGCGCCTGGTGCACCTGGGGAGGATGGCCTGCCAGGTAGTCCTGGCGCAGGTGGTGCACCAGGGCCAGTGGGCCCACCTGGTGCAAGCGTTCTTCCCCAGAACATTCCAGAGGGTCCGCCTGGGCCTCCTGGCCTGCCTGGCAGAAATGGCACAGACGGCGCCCCAGGAAATCCTGGGGCACCTGGGGCACCAGGCAGCGATGGCGCTCCAGGGCCTGCGGGACCAAAGGGCAACAACGGAGACCCGGGCGAGCCGGGCCCAAGGGGCGAGCCTGGGCCTGAGGCGCTACCGGGCATCCCTGGCATTCCCGGTGCACCCGGACCGCAAGGAGCCCCTGGCGCAGTTGGGCCCCCAGGAGCAGCTGGCCAGGATGGGGCCCTTGGCGCCCCCGGGGAACCAGGGCCTGTGGGCCCTCCAGGCACACCTGGCGAAGATGGCAATCCGGGCGAGGATGGGCAGCCGGGAGCAGATGGCGTGCCAGGGCAGCCAGGGAGCGATGGGGAGCCTGGGCTGGATGGCCCACCGGGCGCCCCCGGCCCAGCAGGTCCAAAAGGCGATGGTGGCGAACCTGGCAGCCCTGGCACACCAGGTGGCTTGGGTCCAGTTGGGCCTCAGGGCGACCCTGGAGTGCCAGGCACGCCTGGCCTCCCAGGCGAAGAAGGCCCTCAAGGCGCAGATGGGAACCCAGGTCTGCCGGGGCCAGCTGGGGCCACTGGCCGTGACGGCGAGCCTGGTGCGCCGGGCTTGGACGGTCAGCCAGGGGCGCCTGGGCCCCAGGGCTTCATTGGGCAGCCTGGTGAGCCGGGCGAGCCAGGGTTCGATGGTGCCCCGGGGGCCCCCGGCATCCCTGGTGCAGAAGGCCCACCGGGACCTCCAGGGCCAGCAGGCCAGCAGGGTGAGGCTGCAGATGCTGCAATTGCGGCACAGTCAGTTGCTGAGCCGGGTCCTCCAGGAGCACCAGGAGCACCAGGAGAACAGGGAGAACAGGGAGAACCTGGAGAACCTGGAGCTCCGGGTTTGGAAGGTAGTCCAGGCGCTCCTGGTGCAGGCGGCGCCCCTGGTCTGGACGGGGCTCCTGGCGAGCCAGGGACGCCTGGCATTGGATCCCCAGGGGCACCTGGCCGGGATGGCGCGCCTGGGCCCAAGGGGGCGCCTGGATCTCCCGGTGCCCAGGGCCCACCAGGTCCTAAGGGAGACAAGGGGGAGCCTGGAGAGAACCCAGGGAAGCGCGCATTTTTCAGGACCAAGGCGCACACAACTTACGGGCCAGGTGAGGGCTCTGGACTTGGGTGAATTATCCCGCACCAGGTGACCTTGTGCCATGCTGATTGTGCGCTGCAATGTGCTCTGCAATGTGCTTTGCTTGTTTCCCGTCTGCAACCCGCGGACCCAGCACGGACAGGACACCATGTGTGCATGTGGATCACAGTGAAGGATCCCCATAGTTTACGGATACATATCGCAGCGCTGACGATCATGTGGCAATGTCGTTGCTTCCTCTGAGCTCAGCCAATCGGGTTACCACTTCTCCAGTAGCCATTCTAGCTGTCCCGGTGCTGACCTTGTTGGTTGCTGTTGCACCCCCTTTCTGCCCGCATTCTTGTTCCAAGGTTCCATCCAAGGTTTATTGCCAGTTGTAACTTATCTGCACATGCACAGTCGAGCAATGCAATCTGACAATGCCACGTTGGTGTTGTGGTGTTCCATGCAGTGTACAAATCGCCAGAATACAGCCCCTCGGTCGTGCAGGGGTCTGTGGGCATCCCTGGACTCTGGCTGCTGCTGGCATGTGCTTGTTTAGGTCTGGGGGCGTGCCGAATAACGAAAGCAAGGAGAAGCCTCAAACAGCCCACCTTACCCGTCTTGGCTGCCGCAAAACTCAACTGAAGTGCCAGGTGGCCAATAAAATGTAGAAGCGATGGATGCAATAAGCTAGTTGGTAGCTGTCGGGAAAGTGCGTCATGTTGGCATTAACATTCAAGCAGAATGCAGTTTCTTTTGTAAATTCATTGAAATGATGCTCCGAACATGGAGAGTTGCCTGTGGTCAGCCTGCAGTCCATCCGGTCAGAGGAATGATCATCATGGAGAAAACGGGATTTGTACAATACGTGTACAGGGACAAGTTGAAGAGAACGCACCGAGGGGTGTGCGCGTCATGGAGGGTTGGATTGGATTTAGAGCTGATTGCTCGGGAATGCTTGCAAACGATATGCGGTTAATTTTGGGCAGACTTCTTCAGGCCACGCTGTGCATGTAAACGAGTTTATGTGATGAGAATAATTGCCTCATCGTAATGCTGCCCGCCAACAGTGTCCACTTGACCCTCGCCCTATGCGCTGCCTGCCGTTGGGCAGAAAGGTCAGGGCGCTGCAGTATGACTGCAGTCGGCAAATCGCATGACGCAATCGATCCCACAAGCACCAGAGGGGCAGCCAAGCCACAGAAAGCATTGGCCACTCCAGGGACGTTGCCTTCGGCACTTGCTTAATAGACACAACCTGGATCACTTCTGCCACCGAGCCGAAGAACGGGTGCCGGTGAGTGGAGAGTCAGGGACTTCTACAGTCGCATGAGCACTTTAGCCGATAGGAATTGGACGTATCTACCAAGGCGATGCAGCTTGGTGTGGGCACGCAGTTCTTTGAAACAACGTGTGGTTCTGCCGACTTGATGCGGCGGTGCCATTCGAGTTCTCAGCGAGCAGTGATACTTGACCATGCCACCCTAGTCCGCAGCACAATTGCGCAAATGCATGCCAACCTCGATGTACCTCTGAAGAGAATGGAAGCCAAAATGCAACCAAAGGAAAACCCGTGCAATGTTTGCATACAATGTGCATCTGTGCACGGAGATGCCCTGTGAACGACTGAGGTGTCCTCATAATGTCATGACGAAAGTGGCGGCCTAAACGGTAGATTCCTCGAATTTGTTTACCAGAACAAAAAACGGTCACAATGTTTGCCCCGACTACCTTTCAGTGTAACCAAGTATAATACAATTTGTACGGAACGAAAGTCTCTTGGTGAGAAGTCCTGGGTTCTTGTGCGTCCGAGCTAGGGCTAGGTGGCATTTTCTTGCAAAACATTGTCCCAACCAGCGCATGTCGCTGCGTCCTAGGCTATATAAGCTGTCCGAAGTAGGTTCCCTCTGTCGTTTGGTGCCCGTCACTTGAAATCTAATTCGAATAAGACAAAGAAATGAAGACTTGCTGCCGTGTGTCTCCGTCCATTGGCACCAAGGTCAGGGGACTACTAGTACATTGACGCTGTTTTGCAGCAAGCGCCCTCATGCCTCAAAACAATCCTGGGCGATGGGGCCCGCGCCCAGCCACCAAGCCCCTTCGCGCACCTGCCGCGACCGGGCTCCAGGCCAGCGGTCCAAGTTCACGACGTATCGCTTCGGTCAGTCATATCGCAAACTGACGTGGTGGGGATTTTCTTCGGTTGTGACAGTTTGCGATTCGTTTGCCAGAATGCGCTTGCCAAATTGTCACTGACCGAAGCTAAAGCGCGCGCCGTGCGGTGTTTGCCGTGCGTGGAGCTGTGAGTGGCAGCCCGTGATTGGGGCGAGCTCCCCGGGCGCATCACAGTTGTCATGGGAAGAATGGTGGTTTTTCTTCTGGTGCAAACTGGTGTACCCAGCCTGCCAAATCAGCGATGCAGTCATGTGATGAAGGGGAGACACTATTTTGAATTTCGAGCAAAGGAGGTAAACGAGGAATAGACCATCACTCTGATTTCTGGCTTGCAGACATGTTCTCTCTGGTTTTCGTGGGGAGTTTCCAGGCGGTCGGTGGCAGCTGTGGCCGCCATTAGAGGCGTGTTTTCGGTTACATAGGTGGCCCCGGACGTGCCCCTCGCACACTGGATGCTACGCTACATTGTTCGATGCCATGACGTCACGTCGATGCATCCATGTAAGGAAGAAACAAACAAACAAACTGTTTTGAAATTTGCTCTCCTATCGTCAAATTGACGCCAAGTTCAGCGCCCCCCTCAGTACCAATCCTTATTTTGACGCCTCTCGCTGTACGTAATTATAGTTTATTGCAATGCATGAAAAACAACACCATCATTACCGCCCTGCAACAGCATGCAGTGCTGCAAGGGTTCTCTGAACGTGTGCACGCGTCTTGAAGTTTTACAGCCACTCCCTGGGCAGTTCATGCCAGCTTCCACTTGTGATCCCCAAGGCCATCTGTGGCAGCCGCGAAACTGCGGCACACGCAGCAATCGCTGCCATTGCGGGCGCTCTGATCGTGCACAAGGTCGCTTGCCTCCGACCCATGGATCCAAAACCTACGATGCTTCACATTGACCCGCAAAGAGCACGCTGCCAGCCGTCGTGCGCGTCGGCCAGTAACACAACAGCAGTTGTTGATGAACAATTTTGCGCGGCCAGCGACACAAGCCTCTTGTGGTAAACTGCTCTCAAATGCCAGCCGGATGCACTCACTGACACCCCCACTTCGGTAGTCACCAAAGCAGACAGAATAGACATGCACATCATGCATCACGTTATCGCATCACGCACACGCCTGTTATCGCATTTCTGCAATCCGTAAAAAACTGCTTCAAGGACCTCGTGTGTATGCCAATCTGCAAGTTGGCCATGTCGCAGCAAGCGCGCCAGGTGAATTAAGCCTTTGGGATAAGCACAGGGCTACGCCCGCACGAGTTGCTAGTAGGTGCCGAGATTTTAAGCAGGGTGGCAATCACAACATCAGGCATGGAGTACGTCTGTTCGCATGTCTTTCCTTGGAACTGATATGCGGCTTCAGCATGAAGAGGACGGGTGTTTGTATGTGCTCTGGTCATCAGAGTTAGGCCACACTTTGGGGTGCCTTTCCGACGGCTTCAAGGCGTTTTGGATCTCTTATTGTGCAAATATGTAATCTCTCAGCATCCATGGCCTCGCCCCCTTCCCCCCTTAGCGTCCATTTGACGCTGAGCGTACAAAATTCAATCTCTGTCTTCCTTTATTTTTTGACTATGCGGATTGGGCGATACACATCCATACTAGAGGCTGGGCCGGCGGATGAACTCAGACAGAAGAGGCCGTGCTGTCGTTGTAGAAAATGCAAGTCTTGATGGACAACATCCAAACCACGTTCACGCGAGCACAAATCGTTTTTGTCGTGAGTGTGAGGCACACCAAGGGACAGGAGCATCCTTCTGTTCGGGCGAGCCGCTCTGAATCCCCCTGAGGACAGGAGCTCTACTGCTGATGATGACGTTCGGTTCGACGTATTCGTTCACACGGCCACTTCGTTTCTGCGGGCGCACACCAGAGGGCATTGGTATATGTAGATAAGAGACCAAGGGTGGGGCAGATGGTACCAAAAAACGAACAGGACAGCGTGCAGCGAAACACTTGCGATCGTGGCAATGTTGGCGACAGCCCATTGAGGGTTGCATGATGGGAAGAAAGGGAATATGCCATTGGTCGTGTCCAGATATGGTCACCTAGAGGACAGCAACACAAAGGTGAGGGCCAAAACAGCCAACACAACAGTTTCCGCAGTCAACTCCAGGCGCGCCTGAGGTTGAGGATGCAAGCAAGGCCACTGGCGTGGGACAGCGCAGAAGGGTGTGCATGGCATGTTTGGGACTGCTGCAGCATGCTGCAATCATAGAAGGTGTTACAGTTGGAAAAATCAAAACGAATCCCTGAAAGGAATAAGGGCAGCGGCATGTGAGGTGAGAATGCGCAGTAGGAGGGGATATTGTCCGTTGTGGTGGAAGGATCATGTGCTCCCTTGAGACCCCTTTGCCCCAGATGCTCAAGTGCACAGCACTGCTGCATATGCAACTCAAAGATATCAGAAGGAACTTGATGTTCGACTTACAGTGGGAGAGTTATGGCTAGGTTCATGAACCTCATCAGTGTGGCCAAGTACAGTACTCAAACACCAAGCTTCATCCTCAGGAGATGCGTGAATCACAAGGACGGCTGTGTATCGCCATAGTTTACAATGCCCAAAAACAGAATCTGTACAAACTGAATGCCTTATCAGACAGAGTCAATGAATGGTACAGTGCTGCGACAGCGTGACACAGCTGCAGCAAGATGCAATGGGCCCAACGCCCTAGCTGGTGCCAGCTGCATGGTGCCTGGCGAACTGGGGCCCAATCATGGGGTTTCCCAGCTCCTCCGACACAGGCTCCCTCAGTTGGCCGTCCCTCTTGATGGGAGGGCCCATCCACCCAGCCTCCGCTTCCGCCATGTCCAGTCTAGAAAACGGACTCACAGAAGGCAGGTGGTCAGGGGGTCGCGCTGTCTCTTCCCCTATCACGTCCACCGGCCTGCTGACGCCCGCAAATGCAGTGACCCCAATATGATCTGGCAAGTACGCAAGGTCCGATGCATCCACTTGCTGGCTCAGCAGATCTCTCTCCTCCATCTGCTCATCCAGGCCATTGCCTTCCCCTGTGTTTGTGTCCTCAGAGTAACTGCTCTCATAGTCCCTCACACTCCCACCATGGTCACTGGGCGACAGCCCAGAGCTGTCCCTGTCTTCGTTGACGGGCAGCACAAGGCACAGGCAATGGCGGCCGCCACAGCAGATCGCGATCACCTTCCATCGCCAGTGTCCCCCTGGGAGACTGACTTCACACGGACGATAGGTGTCCTTCAGTGACCCAGTGCCCAGCCGCCCGAAGGAACCTCTGCCCCAGATAAACATTCGCCCCTGATCTGTCAAACATGCCGTATGCGAGCCACCAGCAGCAGCCTGCACAATTCGATGCCCCTCCAGACCCTTGACCTTCTGCGGGCGGCGCCTGCTGGCACCCGAAGCGTCCCCCAGTCCAAGCCTTCCGTATTCACCACGTCCCCAGATGTAAAGATCACCTGGTGGACGGGACCAATATTCAAGGTGTGAGGACAGCACTGGCCCAGAGAGGAACGAGGAAGACAGAAAGGGAACAAAGTGCTCGATGTGCATCTAGTGTAGATGATCTACAGTGCAGCCAGCAGACAGTCAATTTTACCATGGATCATGCACACCACTTTGCGCTAAAGACAAAAGAAGACTGACGAGTTCAGAACAGCCATCAAGACAACAGATCTTCTTGATTGCATTGCATCACAACAAGCGCGTGCCATTATGGAAGAGGCCCTCCACTGGCACTCGTGAGACTGCTCCCTGCCAGCCCCGTTGCATATCAAAGCCTGCATCATCTCAAATTCGCACAAATATCAACTCTTCTGCTGAAACTCTGGCACTTGCTTCCCAAGCACACACCTTCTTTTGTAAGTGCGATGGAGTGCCAGCCCCCAGCCCCAACGTCTGAAACCTGGACATCGTCCAGGTCCACAACACGTTTTGGGGTGGTTTGGTAGCTCGTGGAGCCATTGCCCAGCTGGCCATAGTCGTTTGTACCCCACGTCAACACATGGCCATCTCGATCGAGCGCCAGGTTGTGGAAAGCACCACAGGCAATCTTGGCAACACAACAAGCATCAGCAAAAGCACTTCCCAAGCACAAGACAGGCAGTCCAGAGACAGGAAGATAAGCAACAGATTGAACATTTGGAGCAACAGGTTCCCCATATAGTCTTCCATAGAGGGTAGTGCCATTGGCATCATGGCATCATTCTCTCCACAGACAAGCCAATGCAACCCAATGTTTTCCAATTGACACTACAAGCTCTGCTGTTGTCCCTTGCTTGCTGACCCTGCTGCACAGGACAACACAGATGCAAGAAAGTACTTGCATGATCCAACAGTCAGATTATAGGCTACGCAGTCACAATATCTCTTTATTTTAATGGGTGGTTGGATTTGCCTTCTACTGTGTGGCACAAGACTCAAGCACAAGACATAGCACGTCTTTTGACGATTATCTTGAAATGCACCTGAAAAATGCAATCCAAGGAACTACCACAAAAGGCACACCTCTCTTCTCACACATTCCTTCTTCAGCATGATCTTGGCATGGATTAATTTTGTTGCTTTTCCTGCGATGATTAATTGGGCATGTGCCTGACAGCATCTTGTGGTTCCATGCAAGACAAAACCTGTACAAAGTGTTTCTTTGCTAACGATGCATTCCCTTTCACGTTCACACACTTGCCTACCTGCAATATATCTGTAGCTCCCACCACTGGCCTTGGGTGCTTCTCCTTTTGCAGCTTGAATTCTCCCCATGGCTCACCCCAGGTCCAGACTTCGCCACTTGTGGTCAGTGCCAAGGAATGCATACCCCCACAGGCCACTTGCTTTACTTGAAGATGCGGCACACAGATTGTGGGCTTGACAATGTTCTTCTCCTCCTCATTGACTCCACATTGGAAGTACTCATTGCCACCCCAAGCATACACCCTGTTGTTCTGTCAGAATAACAGGAGGCAAATCAGCAAGGAAGGGAGACCACTACAAAACAATCGACCTGGTCTGCAAATGCTGCTCACGAGGATGCAGGTTGGATGCCCAGAAATCTCCAGTTTGGTTGATGCAAGGAGAGCATGCAAACCATTGTTTGAATGCAGACGCAATTGACTCTGCATTTCGTTGTGATTGAGACAGCAATACAGGTTCAGCGAAAACGAAATATGTCAAAGTCATCTTCAGGTTCTCTGTATGTCGCCACACCAACGACTTCCCAGAATTACCGATCAGAGCAGCAATTGCCAGCTTTGAATGCCCCAATCCCCAGAACGCAAATGCCGGCATCCGTCCACAGTTTTCAGCAGACGCTGCCAGCGATATCCGGACACTCGTGCGCCAGAACGCCCAACGGCGGGATGCAGCGTGGGAGCGCCCAAACGCTGCTTGGATGGCTCGCCGCCCCCGCCCTTGGCCAACTAATGGGCCCCCAATTCAGCCCACCTCCGTCACCGCCAGACAGTGCCATCCGCCCACCGCCGCCTGCACGATCCTCACGCCCTTCAGCGCCGCGATCTCCCTGGGCTTCCGGTCGCCGCCGCGCTGCCCATTCCCGATCGTCCCTCGCTCGTTCCACCCCCAGGACCATATCTTGCCGTCGGCGCAGATTGCCAGCGACACGCGGCTGCCGCCCACCAGGGGACACCGCACGCCGTCCCTGCCGCGGAGCCGCGCGCCCAGCAGGGACTCGATCACGCGCGGCGCAACCGCGGAGTCGACGCCGTCCAGGCCCAGCTGGCCGTCCTCGTTGGCGCCCCAGCCATAGACCACGCACTCCACTGGAGGGCTGCGCACGTACTCCGGGGCAACCACGGAAGACACCACGGAAGAAGGCGGCGAGGTGGCGGACGCCAGCATATGTTTGCCGCGCGACCGGTCCCGCCTGAACGGCGCGCGGGATGGTGATTTGGGGGATCGAGTCAGGGCAGGAGTCGCGGGTGGGGGTGACGGGCGTTCCGGGATGGCCGCGCGCAGCGCTAGTGTGGGGCGAGCTGCCCGCGCTGTCCAGAGGCGCGCGCGAAAAAGCGCGGAGCGGTGGTGGCCTGACGCCGTTTCGCGGGCTTGGCGCGATGTTCTCGGTGGGCGGCAGCACCAGGCACAGGAGGCGGTGAGTGGTGGGTGCTCCTGTACTTCGGGCGAGTGTCCCAAAGGAACAAGGGAACAAAACCGAACGGAAGACGCGCTGGTTCCGAATGCTAGAATCCAAGATTCCGAATCAGAATTGGGATGACGGCCGACTCAACTGTTTGCCGCGTGGCCGAGCCGGCGCGTGCTTTCCAACTTGGGACTCGAGCATGCTGGACATCCGTCGATTTGCCACAGAAAGTGTTTGGTCAATGTGCGTACATGGTAAACCATTCCTGTCCGATAAAATAAGAGGGAAAAGAACGGCAGTAGAGTGTCACTTGGCCTAAGAACCATCCAAAGGCCCTCACAAACTGCCACATCCTGCTGCCGAGCAAACGCACCAAATCGATGCTGTATGTAATGGTGGGTAACGCCACTGAAACAATCCTGGCATAGGCCTGGCAGCCATGAACATGTCCACCACTTCCTCTGACATTGGAGAGTGCAGCCTGGTGTCGAACAACGAGTTCCTGGAGGAGCTGAATTACGTCAGCTTTGACTTCCCCTGCAACCAGAGTCATCCAGGAGACAATTAAAACGTGCAGGAAAATGAGGACTGTGCGATTTTTTCCTCCCCATCTACATGCATTCCGAAATCTGCCACTTTGCTGACATCTGTTAGGCTACGAGGGAAGCTTCATGTCAGATTTGAACCTCCCCATGCCCGCCAGGCAAGCAAGTCGAATAGATGCACACCTTCGAACTGTGAGCAACGGAACCAGCAAACAGGCAGCAATCACAGCATCCCTTCTGTCAGGACAGCAGTGGCACCTTTGAAGATGAATGTGTTATTTTAGCATATGAATTAGAGAATGGGAAAAACACAAACTAGAGGCACATGAATGGCTCATACCAACTTCTGCCACCACAAATCCCCAGGTTCTCACCTCAGTCTCACTGTTCTGTACCAAAACCTCTTATGTGCATACTTGTGCCCACAAAAAAAAATTGCACAGGACAAATCCAATCACCAAATGGACACAAATATCAAAATAGCAATAATCTCCACAACCCAGCCAAGCCAAGTGCAAGCTGTCACATGGGAAAGGCATCCCAGCACCATATTCCTGCCTGATCGTTTCCAGCTTCTCATCATCGTCCAAAAAGAAGGACAGATACTTGAAGGGATGTCAACATCCAGGTTTGCCCCTTTCTCGCGGTGCTCCTCAATTGTTGGATGGCCTCCAGAATATGCATGCTTGGATATCTGGCAGAGGACCATGACAGGCTCAATTGAGTCATGACCCGCACTGTGAATTGTCCATGCCAAGCTTTTCAATGGTCAAATGCTCACAAATAGTCATGCAACAGCAACAGAGAACAGGTAGCTTGAAACGAAAGTTCCAGCTTGTTTCAGGCTGCCATGAATGCTCTAGCAGAGTCTAAGTTCATTCTCCACACAGATGGTTCAGCACTGTGAGATTGCAACTGTATAGTGTAAATCACGGACGATAGTGTAGGGGGTGTTCAATAGCATGGGACCCCACAGACAGCGCCACCTGCGTTATTGAAAATGGCTACTGCTGCGGAGTGCAGTGTGTGTGTATATTAGCGCGGGGGCACACATCTCCCCTGATTGAACATCCTCGTTCACAATCGAAAGATCCAGCGCTGGAGTGCAGGAAGACACAAAACGCTATTGTGACCTCCTTCCACTTTTTCTGTAATTGGGGTCCTATTAAGATTGTTATTTAATGTGTTGAAATGGTCTGGTGATCATTGGCCCAACTTAGGGGCGTCACTGATTCATTGGCGTGATGCGGAACGCGGGGGCCACGTTAGATAGCGTGGGGCACACAAGATAGTGCCCACCGCGTTCTTGACTCCAGCCTTGATGCTCAATGTAGGGAGGGCGCTATCCTCCGCGATCCACCGTACATCGCTCATGCGAAGACTGTGCCACAATAATGTGGAAAATGGCAATCCTTTGAATGCTTTGGCAGCTTTGGGTGACTCACAACTGCAAGTTATCATTTCACAATATTTTGAATAGTTTACAGCATGTAATGACAGTGGTGATCTTTTTATACTCAAATGGCAGTGCATCAAATCATAAACTGGATTTGCAGGGAAGTACCAGCCCATGACAACAAACAACCCCTGGTGGGCACCAAGCATCACACTCGCAAGGAGCCTTATGGCATGCACCTTATACCATGCACATGTTTATTTACACTCCACAGAACAAGGCTTGTGAATTGATTCCACAAGATTTTATGTACAACAGCAACAATTCATTCCTTTTTAACTGCCTTAAGCTTAGCACAATTTCTTTCCAATGTTCACAAAACAAATCTTCAAACAGTCACACACATACACAGGTCCAAATCCACTTGGGAGTAGGCACAGTGTTCAGAAAGCTGACTTCTTCACTTCTCACAACAGGGCTCACAAGTCACCTTTGATTTGATCTCCTTTGGTGTGTCTTTGGTATAAATGGCAGTGGTGGTATCATTTGCATTCACCTTCCCACTGATGCCCTGGAGAGCTGGGAAAAAGCGGGACTCGATCAGTGCAGGTTTGTGATGGCCAATGCATGGTGCAACGTCACGAGTCATCTGGAAATATGAATCCTGCACAAAAAGACCAGTGGGGCCCTGAATGCATCTTGCAGGTATTTGGTGAACATGAAGGGGACAAGATGCCCCAGGTGCAAGGCTTCAGAAGAGGGCCCCTGCACAGAAGTACCCATCATATTGTTGCAATCCTTGCTGAGGTTCATCCATCAAAGTCCTCAACATGCTCCCACAACCCTAGGCCTAGTGCCAACCCAAATGCCCTATTTCAACACAGTGGCAGCATTTACTGGCGCCTTGCATGTATCATACCATGTTTACCGATATGGCAATTGGAATTTTGCATGACTATATACGGAGCACATTTCTCTACATTCTACACGATGAGTGTTTGCTGATTTCTTCCAGCTTGGTATCCTGTCTAGAAAGTCTGCAGGAGCAGGACAAGGGCTAGGCTGTGTTGGGCCACCCTAAAGGCACATCTCTTGGTCGTGTCAGAGACCATATTGAAACAGTGGCGTTGGGGTGGGTTGGCCAGCCGTGGATACCGACAGACACAGTGCAAGGGCAGTGGATGCACACTCATCGTGTGGTCCAGATCCACACCATCGGGGCACAGGTGCATTGGCCCTGGAGACAGATGCAAGATGCCCCTGTTAAACGTGTTGCAATCGCATTTGCCAAGCAAGGTGAGTGACCTTTTGAGTCCACTGCTGGACAAATAGACAGATAGGCAAAAGCATGTACATGCTACTGTAGGGGACAATGCACTGGATGTTGTTGCGCCATAGCTTTTAGACCAGCTTTTGCTCTGCATTTTGCAGCACACCTATCACTTTGTATGTCTGTTGCTTGGTAGGCAAGGGCAAATATTCACATTGTTGTGCCAGACAGTTAAATGTTGTATGGCACACATTGTCACCCTATGCCCTCCATGGCAAAATCACATGACTTAAAATAAAGCTCCGAGAGCAGGCTGGGCACAACAAAGGATAAGCGTCAATGGGCCATGGGAGGACTGGGCTCACAATGGTGCTATTTGTGCAGCTGGCACTGTGCCTGTCAGTGTAGAACATACCCCAAGTCAACAGCCATGGAGTGGGTCCAACATACATAACACTTACACTTCCACTGTACAGGTAGAACGGCAATCCCTTTGCATACCAGTCCAGAATGACGTCCAGCTCCCTGTGTGCACACATGATTCCCTGCCTCAAGAAGGGGCGAACTGGCTTGCCAGTCAACATCTCTATCCTGCCACTGCACAAAAGACAGGAGGGTTGTTGAAACAAAATAGTTCAGCTGACAACTTCAATGACAATAGCACATGACATATTCACCCTGAATGCTACTATGGCCATCGAACTACTCATCAAACAATTATGGGCCATCAGCGGAGAATTTATTGTAAGACAGTCAGGTTGAACATGCATATGCAACCACACAAACAGACACAGTGATGCAGCAACCATAGAGAACAATAGCCAAGAGACACCACAGTACCTCATCAGAATGGATGCTGCAAATGAAGACATGGAAGCACAAACAACCTGCAATGTTTCTGGATGTTGAGCCCCCAAGTGTCTGTCTTCCTGCTAGACTGTACAAATGAGTGAAGCTATCCACAGAGTTTGCAGACATATCCAGCCCCTAGACCACAAGCTATCCACGGAGTTTGTAGACATATCCAGCCTCCAGGTCATAAGACAAGCATGATGGTGAAGTTTGGCAGAATGTAACACAAACAGCATCAGACTGTCAGACTGCCAGAAGGATCTCCTTATTACCCAATCTGCGCAAAATGCATGAACAGGGAATATTATGACATACCCTTCCATCATCTCTTGGGGTATCAAGGAGCACCCAAACTACAACGAAAACAGCCATGACACGGCCACCGTCCATCAAGATTGCTACCCAGCAAAAAGAGGAGCTTTGGCTGGTTGAATGGGCACCACTATGTCACCTTGTCCACAAGTTTGTCGTAGTCCACGTCTCCAGGCACCGTCCAAGGAGTCACCACCGCCTGAATCCAACACCAGCAACAGGAGGAGTCTCATTTCCTTGACATAAACAAACACACTCATCGCCCAGCTGCGATATCGCCAATAGTGCGGCCAAATCTGCAGATGGGTTGGGCTTCAGGCAGCCTGTCCGGTCCGGCCGATGTGCTTCAGGCGGTCAGCCCCTTTCAGTGTGCGGTCTTTGCCCGTTCAGCACACTCCTTGGTCAGTTGACCAATGCTGCTTTGGAATGGCCTGATGCAGCAGCCGCGCGCTTCCCCTTCCGCACCTCGTCGCTTTCTTCTTGCGCCTCGCATTGGTCTGCGGATCGACGGACGGTGATTCTGCGTTTGAAGCCATCTCTTGCTCTGCCTTCCTGCTGCGAGGCGTCCGCAATGCCCTTGGCAGCGTCCCGCTGTGTCCAAGCGTCCGCGCCCCGTTTGGTGCACTGAATCCCTCCAATGCGTAAAGTACTGCGAGGCACGACAACTCACCTGCATGCGTCCAATCGGTGTGGGTTCCATCGCCGCCCAGCTGCCCCCCGTCGGCCGAAAAAGATGGCAGTCCTCTTTCTTTTTGCTTGGCTCTTCGCGGCACCCGCCTTTGCAAAACCGCAACTTGCGTATGGGGCTCAGGGCGTTTTCAAGATCGTCCAATTCACAGACCTCCATTTTGGGGAAAGCCCGGCGCTGGATGCCCAGTCAGTGCAAGTATGCGCCTGGAAGCCAAATTGAGAAGCTTTGCAGCACCCGTATTGGGGAATTTGGGCGTAGGCCGTTGAGTTCGTTACCGTTGAAAACAGCGGACACTGATCGACTCCACTTGCGGGGAGCTCCACACACAGAAGATTTCGTGTGCTGTGAATTAATTGCTTGACGTCTTCACCACCCAAATGAACTGTTAGCAGCACGACGTTTCCTGGAATGAAGGAACTTCCCAAGAAAGTTCCTGGGTTTTCTGACTTCGGACTTTGGATTGCTGCTATGGCATCATTTTCTGCCTTTGAGCGGGTCTTTACACCATTCCTGTGCAACTGAGTGTCCATCAATACGATCAAAGGCACACCATGAAAATTCCTTAACGATTTGTTCTCACAACCTCGAACCCAATTGCCCAAACTTTTTGGGTTGGCTGTTCTGTTCAGAATTTTCCATTCATGATTGGTGGCCATTTCAAGTGGACCAATTTTGATATTTCTTGCACAGAGTCCTGTTGGCATTTTAGCTTTTCCGAATGCTGCACCACAGCACATGGTTATGCCGAAATCCACATTCTGCAGGACTCTGCTGCTTGATGGTCCACCACATCGGTGCCTGAATATAAATATAGCATTATTCCATGAGCTCAAAGCACTGTTGCCCTGTTTTTGTGTGGTTGTTTTGTGATCATGAGTTTTTGACAGCAAGGTGCAAAAGGTGGGAAGGGATTCTGCTCTTGAAAGGGGAAATGTTCTCAACTCTGCAGGAAATTGTATGCGCTGATGTTGCAATGTGGCCCGAATTGGTGCATTGTTGCAGCTGATGAGAAGCATCCTCAGCTCAAACGATATAGATTTTGCAGTGTTGTCTGGCGACATGGTGTCCGGCTATGCATATCCACGAGGAACGAAGCCAACAGGGTGGTATGCAGCCAGGTGAGCTGTGATTTGATAGTCAGCATCGAAACAGTGTATTCTCTATTGCGGCAGCACTTGTGAGCAAAGAAACTTGATCATTGAAGTAGTGGTGTGACAAGTCCTTGCCAGGATGCCCATTGTCAGTGTGACTATGACGGCTGGTTATTGTCCTGAATAACCCATGGGCTGTGCTTGGGCATGTGGAAGTCAAATGCCTTGAATGATGGTGTGGTGCTGTTTTGTGCCACTTCTTCAATCTTGCAATTGCAGTTCTTTCAGAAAATGATCATCTTGCGCTGTTCTTTCTTGCCATGTTGCATTTGGCAATCTTACTTGGAATGCTCTTGTTAGTTTCAGGTCAGGTTGTGCGCCCAAGGCATAAGGTATCATCTGTCATCTGTATTGAAGGGGATGATATGACCTAGCAGTGCTGGCAGTTTTCCTCGCAGTTCCAGTTACATTACAGTTTCAACGCAGCAGTCCTGGTGTTTGAAGTTTCATCTTGGAAGCATGCTTGGAAGGTCACAGAGTTTGTTGCCCCCATGTTAAATAGGTGGAAACAATTAATTGCCCCTCTTCATGAGCATCAGGTGAAATATGCTATGATCTTGGGGAACCATGATGATGAGGCGGATCTTACTCGGCGAGAGATTGTTGAGCTTGACATGGCCACTGGAGCGAATCTTTCCTACACATGCCAAGGACCCACCATGATCACTGGGGCAACGAATTATTGGCTGGACATCGCTGATAATGACCACTCAGATGTGTCTGCTGGGAGACTATGGTTTTTTGATTCCATGGACATGGGATGCAAGGGCAAAGATTATAGCTGGTATGGCTTCATGGCAGGAAATGGCTGCCAAACGAACAAACTGTTTTGCCTGCTGGGGGCATTTGTTCTTAGCAGCTGCAATATCATACAAGCATCAACCAGCGTCTGGTGATCCACACGTCTGTCCCACTCACAAACAATGTGTTGATGCATCCACCTTTCTTGAAAACAGGCCTCCTTTAACTTTCTTGTGTGCAATCTTCTGCATTGGCAGCATGTGTCTGGGGAAAAGAATTGTTAGGACTGCATGCGACCGAGCAATTTGTCTCTGCAATCGAACTTTTCTCCTTTCTTTGAATGCTGTGAGTGGTGCCTTAGATTGGTGGCCTTTTGCGTTGTACAAGCTGTCCAGTGGCCCTGAAGCTAGAGGCTTCATGTCCTGCTGCAGCTGTGTTTGGAAGCACCTCGGTGATGCCCTCCAACGATTCTTGAGCTTGCTGCGTGCAGGGGTTGTGTGGGTGCTGACACAGTTAGCTGGTTTTCGGACGAGGGAAGCAAGCTGCCCCACGTCCCTGGACTTGCGTTTGTCCATATTCCTCTGTGTGAACACCTATCCGCCTGGCGATATGGGACTGTTGTTGGTTCCAAGTTTGAGCCCGTGTGTTGCCCACGATTTAACACGGGCTTGTTTCTGAAATTGAGGTACGAACGTTTCCAAATGCACCTGGAGTATGTGTAGTGGTTGTGTTTTACACAACCACTTGGATTTTCGATAGATGACATTGAGATCTTGCATGCATGCATGGTGCAGGATTACTTATTACTGATAGCCGATTTATCCTTTGCACGATCACCTTCCTTGCAAATTGAGCTGGGTTTTGGTAGCGTCGTTCAGTGACATGCAAATTGCATATCGCACTTCCTGTAGCTTACAGAGCCGTAAACGTAATTGTTTTCTGAAGCAGAGTGTTTTTATGCCCACACAGGCTATACTGGGGACAGTCATGTCTGGGCGGCAGCGAATCAATGCAATGCACATGCTATGGCGGTCTGTTGTTGTCTGTTTTGCCTTTCTTGCTGAAGTGACATCCACCACTGGTGGACCACCAATGTTGGACACAGTAGCGTTGGGCCTATCAAGGGTAGGCTGCATGTCCCTGGATTTGTTGTGCTGCTCCAATAGCCTGCGAAGATTAGCCCATTCGTGTATGCATTTGCTTCAATGTAGTGAGCAAGAATGGCAGCATGATTGTGCTGCACAGGGAGCAAGGAGTCACATCATTGTACAGTGGACATGACCATGACAACAGCTATTCTGCGCTTCACATGGGAGTCAGGTTGGCTTATGGGTGAGTGAAAAGACAGGGTCCGTTGGCGAACTCCAATGATTCTTGAAAGAGACAAGATGACGCTCCAAGGGCATTACCCTCCAAAGCGAGAATTCCAGGGCTGTTGCACGCTGTATTGTGGAATCGTATCACAAAGACGGGATGCAATAAGGAATCGTACCTGCAGCCTTTGCATAGGCGGGCGACGCGTTGTGAGGCCGCCACTCCCTGCAATCTGATTAGCAACAACAGAGCAGCAACGCCATGATAATTGCGCAGTCAATGGGCAATACGAAATGAAAGAAATCTGATGCACTTCAGCACCTCCTCCGTGAAGGCGTTTGTTCCTCCAAAGCATGTCTCTTCCCACTCCAGTTAGATGCAAGTGTGGCACTCTGGAGCCTGTGTGTGGAAATTGGTTGCCATAGCGGAGGGAGCATGGCCATGCTGCGGCTGGCCCCATCTTATCTGCATTTGAAAGACTGGTGGGCTTTCTGACAGGTAATTTTGCGTGCCTGCCTGTTTTGTGAAGACAGAAATCTGGATATGGCAGCTATGGCCCCGCAAGGTCTGTGCCAGGCGCAAGGATTATTGTGATGAAGAAGGGAGAGCAGACATCGCTCGCTGAAACATGGATCGCATTTCCGAATGGTGCCCCTTACAAACAAACCACGAAGCAGTCAAGCATATCAGCTTTTCAGCTGAGGTGCGCCGCAGGTGAGCAACTCCAAAATAGTCGCATCACATGCAAACTGCTCGGGCTCAGTTTGCTGAATTGGAAGCGGGCGCCAGGACCTTGCCTGTTGGTGTACGCACTTTCGGCTGGATGGCAGCGGATTATAAGTCTTGGTCCAATTAGCTCACAAGTCCGCGCTTCCATGAGCACTAGCCGAGAAATGTTGCATCGTGTTGAGGGTTGCTGGCCTACAGTGTCATACAGTCTCCTGTGATGGCTGTGACGGGAACAGGGTCTGCGCGACAGGGTCGCTGTGACTGGGCCACCATAGTCAGGCATCAATTGTGATGTGAAGGGGTAGACACACTTGCATATGTTTGTGTTTCACCATGACAAATTGGAATGGCCGTAAAGATGGCGCTGCAGCGGAATCGACATCATGGCGAATTACTGCGCGATAGACTTGAAATGAGCCGAAATTCTGTTTCTGGAAGTTGGCCTTCACACACAACACAGGACAGAGTGTTCTGGAGTTGCGCAAAAGGCTTTACGCTATCCTTGCTTCCCTTGGAATGAGGAGCGCCTTGATGCTGGATGCCTGCTCGGATCGCAGCCTCTCAAACTGCCTACTTATGTATCATGCCAAGATCCGCAACATAACGTGCTTTACAGGCGTTGTCGACGTCTCGCCTGGACGCACTGCAGTTTTGCGCGCTTGTGGTTCTGACGATTGCTATTGTGCCTCAGGGCCACATCTGCCGCGAAGGGTCTTCAGCTCACAAGCGCTCCATCGGGAACGTTCGTGGCTGGAACAATGGTCGGGCCCCTATCCGCAGCTGCTTTCCAGGTAATATACCCTCGACAGGGCGACTGGGCAGCAGCTTGTAGTGTGTCACAATGCAGCTTCCTCAGTCCGCAGGTTCCAGAACGGAATCCTTATCAAGCAGCGGCAGCGCAGGTGCACCTGACTGGGCGCACTGTTTCGGCACGTGCGCTCCCGTGTGCCACCAGCGCAATTGCCCAAAGTATCATCGATTGATGGCCCTCCGCACGCCCATAACCAAATGCCTGTGTGTATGCCGCCATTGTGCTTCAGCGGGGTTGTGCTGCTGGCGTGTGGCGCCATGATCATCCTGCGCTCAAGAAGGACCCGGAGAGATCGTTCCACAGCACGGCCAGTGGGAAGATTTCGCGGGGAGTAGTGACGCAGCAATCTTCTGACAGAATCGGCTCCGGAGCCCAAGGCCACGAAGCCTGTGTGTGCGCGCATCCGTGGCGAGCTGTGTGCAGGGCCTGGCTGGCTCGCACAGGGCGCTAACGTCTGATTGGGTTGCGCATCACATCAGGGCAGACGGTGGGCTTGAGAGCGAGATGCAGCGACGAGACCCAAAGGAAGGCAGCCTCAGTTCAATCACCCTCGGTTGTAAATTACATTTGCCCATAAAACAAACCCCAGAAGACTTGACAGCCTTGCACGGTGTGGTGTCCCACTCATGCGGGAGACTGCTTGATCGCAGAGAGTCGGAACAAAGCAAAGAAGACGCACCTTTATTTCCGGGCTCTTGATCCCCCCAAAGCGAAAGCGCTGCTCGTAAAATCTTGTGTACTGAAGACCTGACCACCCGAACACTGCGTCTGTCGAAAGCGACGCGCTGCTATCACCTCAACCAACGTCATCAGTGCACCCGCCACAGCGGCTCCTCCCTATTGGAAGCCCACAACACCTCCCGAGCCAGCTCCACATTGTCTCCGTTTGAGGCCATCATGCAGTCTTCTGCAATACATTGAAGACGACCGCGCCATGGAAAGCAGGCATGGCTGTTTCATAGACAGCCCGGCCTTCCACCGGAAATCTAACAGTCCATGACACGGCCCACGCAGAATGAAACGAGAATCCCGTGGCAGAGGTTCGTCCAATGCTCAAAACCTCACCACACGCTATGTGTCCCCCACAGGGCGCCTGTGCCAGCGCCCCTGTCCCTCCCGCAGTGCATGCAATGCGGCTGTCAGCGGCACGGCAGGTGCGCCCCAGTGGGTCGACAGCCTCTCCCGCCACGCCACCATCAACATCGCGATCCAGTACCTTATTGTCGATGATGCCAATCAATGCCAAAATGGGTGCCGCAGTTTCGCCAAGCCGGCAGAACCTACATACAGTGCTGAAGAATTTTGTACCAGGCTTCCCGCCCCTCCATTATGTGCCAGCCAGGTATCGATTATGATGACAATGATGCGTGGGATGGTAAGGAGCACCACCCCTTATTTCAAACCTTCATCCCTGGGAGCACCAGACTCGACTGAAATTGTGCTGCGACCGGTGCACGTCCCTTGAATGATGTCCGCTCTGCTTGGCAGCCCCACTGACTGCCCTCCTGGACATGAGGAAATGAAAAAGCGAAGCAGAAGTACCCACATCTGCACCTCGTCGGTTAACTCCGCTCGCCGGCATCTTCAATCCCACCGCCTCTTGCTGCCACAAGACACCAACCCCACCAAGCAGAGCCCTGCGGCAATGCATACGTCACCAAACCATGTTTCTCAAAGAATTGCGTTCCTACATCGTTTTCTGCTTGCCTGGGTATTGCATGACAGCCCCGAACAGTCATCAATATGTTCATGAATAGGTCCCATACACAGACAGCTCCCTGTGGACCAGAAAATGGCGTTTGTCATAAGCGCACACTGTGCTGCCAAGTCCTGACAAGCCAAAACTCCTAACTCTCCCACTACAAACCTGCCGTTCCCAGCACACTCCTTTGTTCATCAGCACCATAGTTAACACAAGCCTGTTGAAGCAGGGCCATCTACAATGCAAGTGGCACATCTACACAACGCCATCAAAACACTTCTTCGTACAAGTCGTTTGTACAGGCGCTGGAGTCGTCCTCCTCAATGGCAACCCCCAGCAGGCTCTGGCCCCCCGGGCCCTTCCTTGTGGACTGGCCGAATGTGTCATCCGCGTAAAACTGGGCAGAGTCCATGATCCTCCAGTTCTCTGCCTCCGTGCCGTTCAGCCTGGTGGTCACCGTGATGTCGCTTTCGACAAAGGAATAATTCCAGGGAGAAGAGCACAAGTCCCACCCATCAGAGCCGGAACTCTTTGACTGCTCCCTCGACCCCGATTTTGACCTCCACCTCCGACTGGTGCCCGAAACGGGCGGCGGCGAGGGGGTCGTGGAAGGTGTGGAGTAGTCGTTCTGCAGGACCTCAGGGTACTCCTTCATCCCGTCGACATCAGCATAGTAGGAGCACATGCTCTTTGCACCAGCCCAGAATCGACGCCCCTTGAGCAACGTTCTACGCACCACGTTTCGGAAACCCCTGAGCACCTGGCCAGCAACACTGTCCCCAGTATCTGAAAAGTCGCGGCTCAATTGGGGCACAATGTCGACCGTCAGGATGGTGGTGTCGTCTGAGAGGCGGCCAGCGATTGATGCCGCAAGGTTGATGAGTCGCTTGGGAGCATGCTTCAGCAGGGAGGCCCTTGAATACTTACAGGCCTTGACTCCAGAAACGTGATCCCACAGACCATCGGAGGCCAGGATGAGGCGAGCACCAGAACGGGGCAGCATCACCTACGGTTCACCTTGCCATACATCAGCCACAGTTCCAAACACCGAACCTTTACCTGTGAATGTGTGGTGCAGCAGACACAGATGCAATCTGACACTCCAAGCTACAACCTGCCTCCTCTGTGTTCAGCACAAGACCTCTGTTTGGCCAGTTCTCATATGACGCCATGAATTCACAACGCCTAACCACAACCACTCTTCCTTGCCAAACGAAGCCGAAGCCTGAAGCACACATCTGAGGAATAGACAGTAGTGTGGTTTTTGTGAATTTTGGCGGCCGAATGACATAAGGCTGCCGGTCAGGGAAGCGCATTTGTGGACGCCTCTCTCGCATGCCTCTGAGCTGTTGAACGGTGGGGAAATCATCACTTGATCATGAATACTCTGTCCGTTCGTGTATCTGGTCCCTTGCTCACTGACGATATGCACAAGGTTGCAACGCATTGGGTATCACTGGGCACCATCATGAGGAGAAAAAGCAACCACCAAGCATGCCATCTATGGTTGTCAGCGCTACAAGCTGGTATGGAAGGCAAGGTCCTGCTCCCCTCACAACACCAAAACACGACTTGAAAAGGCATTGCATGTGAAACAGCAACAGCTTTCGTGCACTCATAACCGTCATAACAATGAAGCCATAAAGTTGAGGGCTGCACAACATTTCATCAAACTATTCAAGGAGACTGACACCATCGCTGACCTGCCGAATGTGCGGCACGGGGAGCACGTGGGGGCCGCAGTCGATGTCTCCAAGGGAGCGGGACATCGCGATGCCTCCAGGCCACGCCCTGAGGGGCCCAATGCCCCTTTCGCCATCCGCTGGTGGGCCCCGTTTGGAGCGGCAGAGTGTCGCCAACTTAACCCCTGCCGACCTCAGCCGGTGTTGCTCCGGCTCATTGTCGTTCAGTTTGTGGCAACAAGACATCTCGATGATATGGTGTCGCGTGTCCAGAAACACCTCACTGTCTCCAACGTTGGCTACGGTCAGCAGCCAGTCCCGCACGAGAGCGACTGAGACGGTGGTCCCTGGGAGCCACAGCTTGGGTGTCGAAAGGTAAGACAACAACCAACGTTGCCATGCTTGCATCAACAATCAGCAATAGCCTCCTTGGCCGTTGACAGGGAAGTCCAACAAAGGAAAATCAGTAGAAATCAGAGCAAACCAGGAGGGAAACTTGATCAGGAAATCATCCTTTCATCAGTTCGCGTACAATACAACTGATTTTGACATGACTCCACGCCAACTCCACCAGCCACCTGATTATCCAAACAACTCGATCGGTCAGTGAAATGGAGAAGGCAAGTCAAGGCTACCTGAAGCGCGGCAGCCCTCCAACTCGAAGTCCGCATGGATGGACATGAAGGCCTCCACCATCGCTTTGCGGACAGCCTCCGCGAACTCCTCGCCCTCTGCAGCACGCAACAAAGCGCCCGCATCGCGACAGCAAAACAGAAAAAGCTGCAACCCTTCAAAACTGCCTGCGACACGACCAAGCGGTGCCCCTGCACACCTTGCAGGCGACGACCGGCATGCATACGTCCAAAAACGCCTCCTTGTCCCGCATCCGTTCATTTTATCCTCTCGCAATCCGTGCGGTCAGAACAGAAGTCGGCGAACACCAGCCGCTGCGGCGCGGCGCGGGCACGGGCAGCGCCACGTCAGCAAAACCCATGCCTTGATGCGCAAGCCTGGCGCCCGCCCCGACAAACCCATGCACGCAGCAAATCTGCGCCAATTCGGACGCAATTGCGCCGCTCACCTGGACTGTCCAGCGAAGGCATGCGTTCCACGCAGGGCAGCAGCCGGGACAGCGTCGGCCCGAGGTTCTCCTTCACGAATTTCGCGCAGCGCTGGCCCCCGTGCCCGTCGGCCACGCAGAAGACCTTCCAGTCGCCGTCCGCACCGCCGTCCTCCCCACCGTCCCCCAGCCCTTCCAGGACAAAGAACACGTCCTGCGGCGGCGAAAAGCACCTCAAACCCGTGTGAACAAACGCGCCACACCCGTCACACACACCCCCCCCGCACACCGACATCCTGTCAGGGAAATGTTGCAGCGACGCTCCAAGACGTCATTCACGGCCCGCGGAACCCTGCCTGCCTTCCGCAGCGTCGCGGGGCACATACGACGCCTGTTCGGGAGAGCTTCGAGCATCCGCGAGGCGCTGGACCCCGACGACCGAACAGAATCCACCGACGCAGATCCGCGGCGCATGTCCCAGAGCCACGGGAGCTGCGCTGCGGCACATTCGGCTCAGCGAATTCGATTCCGCGCAGCGGCACAAAGCCTGCGCCCGGTCCACCGCCCACGCGCCAACCACCACGCCGTACCTCATGCTTCAGCTGGCGCTGCACCACCGCGTAGCGAAACTCGGGCGTCTGCAGCGTCTTCGACGGCGACCGCCCGCGGCCCATTCCGCATACGGTCAGCCTCCCTCTCAGCCCTTCGCGCCGGACCTGCTCCAACACCGGCAGGGTCATAAACGGGCCATAAAGGAGCAGCGGGTCAGCCGGAGGCCCAAGGGGGGCGACCGCGCCAGCGCCCAACGACGTTGGGGTGCACGTACGCGCTCCAATGTTCCCACGCCGGGACCCCGACAATACACATTAGGGGCCAATGCCGGGCGCCCATGGCGGCAGTGTTGGCCGCACGGCCCACACGCCACTCGCCGCAAGGCGTCCAAGAAGGCAAATACCATCCCGCGCGGCAATGACCCATGCCTGCGCGGCTGCACCCACAAGTTGACATGTACCACATAGCCGGCAAACCCCTTCGCGGTTGCGTCGGGTCCACCGCAGGGGGACCCGACGCGCCATGGGGCCACGGCGAGGCGCACCTCTTGCGGTTCGCCTAGCTATGTGCACCTCCCCCGGCTGCCCCTGCGGCGCCCTGACCATGCAGACACCCTTTCCGTTCAGCGTGGGGCGGCGACCCCGCGCCCGTGCCCACCCCTTATCAGCCAGCCATTAGTCATGAGCCCTTGGGCATCCCGGGCGGGTGGGCGCCTGCAGGTAGTGCGTGGGACCGCCCTCTGGCGCGCCAGCCTGGCGCGGAAGTCAGATGAGCGTCAGCAGGGGCCCGTGTGTCATCGAATCACTCCAGTCCATGGGGCCGTATGTTTGATTTCCGGAGGCACCCTGATTAGGAATGATTGATTTGCGCGTTGGCTCCGAGAAAGTAAGTGTGATTTGGTACGTGATATGTAATATGCCTTGGTAATTTCGGTGTACCTGCGCCATTTGTTACACAACATTCCCCCCAAACAATGACAAGCACAGGTGGCTGGGACGGGTGGAGCGCAAGGTGCCTGGACAGGAAGGAGGTCTGCGTCTGATGCGGTACAAGGCCCGCACTACGAGCCTCGTACCTCGAATACCACCACAGGGACGGGGCGCGTCGTTGGGCAGGGCCCTGCCTCTCGCACACATCGGCATGTGCACATGGCTCCGGCTGCTCTCGCACGAAATGGAACGATTGATTGGCGGTTGGGCGCTCAAACCGCTGCAGAAACTTCTATTAAGTGTCCTTGTGAGTTTTCTATTTTTTGTTTCGGGAGAACCCCAAACAAGTCTCTCGCATGCTTCGCTTCTGAGTTCCCACTGCGCCGTCCAAACGCAACGGCACGGTTCCCCATGGCAACTTGCCACGTGGGCGGATCTGCCGCTTGGCATCTCGTCCGCGCGCCCCCTTCATGGAGAATTCTGACAAAATTGCATGCACTGCACGATGCACAACGATAGAATGCCTTGCGTGCCCATTGCATTATCGTCACAGCCAGCACCCGGGGGCGCGGCTCATCCAAACATGATGGGTTGTTGTGCATGGTAACGCAGACTACGGAGGACAGCGCCCCTCCCGCGTTGAGCATCAGCGCTGGGCCCAGCCTCGATGACCCCGTGGTGAAGAACGCGGGAGGCATCATCTTGCGTGCCCCCCGAGCTATATCCCCTGCTCTCGGCGTTCCACACCAAGCCTGCAAGCCAACAATGCCCCCAGCGTTGTCACATCGTCCAGCAAAGCAGCCGGCACCCGACGAGATCACGCCATCCAAAATGCCACATGAATCTCAGAACGCGGCAGGGCATTGCAATGAAATTCTGCGATTCCATGCACTGGTTTGCTGCCTTCCTGCGACAAAGAAGGAGAATGCCCGGCCACGGGATCCGGGTACATGGGGAGCAAACTAGCATAACCCCGCCCTCTGCAATGTGTCTACTCTCCACCATCTACAGCACCTCTTTGGAAACTGCCGCAGACAATGGGATCTTTTTATCGCATACTCCAGAGTCTGCAGCAAGGAGGCATGTCGGAATTCATCGATGTGCCCACTACGCTTTCGAGTATTGCGACACCCTTCACCAGCATTGTCTTTTGCTCCTATTTGAAGACAGCTGTGAGTCTTCTTCGGTGCGTGTTTCTGTTGGGAACTCCCCAAGGGGCTGATAATTTCTCAAGTTAGGATTCAAACCAGCTTTTTCTGCTAACTTGGTATTTACAGAATTGTATGTTCGTTTATTCACTGATTCCACAGTGGTCTCCGTGATTCATTGTCAATAGTCTATCCCGCGTGCCAGACCTCAATTTCGGAAGTGCAGAGCCCAGTTTGTCGTGCTGTGGCATATCCCTCAACACTGATAGGGCAAACAAGAAGACCAAGCAGCAGAAAAAGCGCCGCAATCCAGCGGCCTGTTCTCGGGCGAGGCCGGCGCTGTGGGGAGAATCCGTGGCTCTAAAAGATAGGCTAACCTATCAGCCAGGGAAGAGTGCTCTCAGGGCAGCAGGCCTACCTTGTGGTGTCAATGCGTACATGCTGCAATAGGTCTGCCCGCCCGACGAGAACCCCACTAGGTTAAATACAATAAATGGAGTCAAATACAATAAATAGGCTTGTACGCGTTTACCGTTATTCTTTGCTTCTTTTTCGTTTTCCTATTTCTTGTATCGGGACAGCAGTACTGATTGACAGAATCACTTGTCTACCAGATACACCCTAGAAATCAAATTGTGATCACCTAAGCCAACGAGTAAACATCAACGAACGTAGCTGACTACGCATCCCAAGGTCCACTACCAATAGCGTTGTACAATCCACCCGCAGTGTGGAGAATCCCCACCCATCCTCTCTTCTCGCCGGATAATAACTGTACAAGTTTCGACGAACGCGAGGCCCCGCTTCAGTTTGGCAACAGCCACTTCTACCGCATCTTTCTAGCAGCCAAATGAGTGAGCGATCCCCGCACACCCGGTCCGACATTCCGGAGAATCAGACGAATGCATAGATGGATACCAATTCCCATCGGCTGCGTTCCTGGCGGCTGCGTTGATTCGGCATCAGTGGGATGAAGCCCCTTTTAATTGTGTACAATTTCTGCTTGCCTCTGATGTACGACAGCACTACGCAATTGGATCTTTTGCAAATGGAACAGATCTCCAGCGTGAAGACACAATCTCCGCCCACAGTCCTGCTTCCACACGGCCATGCCTTGCGATGGTGCGTCATGTGCAGTTATCTGAAGGTTCATCTCTCTGCGGTTGGCTTGCGCCCTTGGGTCAGCAACCGCCGCGACTTGGTCCGCCGCAAAGGAGTGGAGGCCGCAGCGCTCCTCTCAGAAGAATCGGATTCCGTGCGACTGCGCACAGAGTTTTTTGGCCTCCGAGAGGCCGCCAGTTTCTCTAGTGGCGCGAAAAAGAAATTTTGTGTCTGTGCGATTGTTAAATTGGTCATTGCTCGGAAGAGTAGATGCCAGGAAAGAAGCCGTCCGCTCCCAGTTCTTGCAAGCAATTATTCCAAGTTTCATGTCGTCACAAGAAATCGTGACCCAGCGAATAGCAATACAGCACAGTTTCACCCAGACGGGATTCACGCGCATATGAATACAAATCAGTATCTTCACTAGGGTGGGTACTTGCAATTTAGCTGTGCAAGCTCAAAGACAAAAGTCTTGAAATATGCAGCGTTTGCTCTTGACAGATATATCAGAAGGCTTGCAAACCGACTGAATTTTGCACGGATTATTCAGTTCTCCATGTTTTTGTCTGTGTGCGAAATGGAATCTACACTGCAAGTGTACGGTAACTATTCGCCTCACCTTTCTGCTCCCTGATCGCGATTTGTTTCTCGATGGCTACGGCCAACTCTTCATTCTCGAAGCTTCTTGCCACATCAGTGGACAATCGCCCCAGATTGTCCTTTGCCATAGGGTCGAGACCGGCCTTTTGTTCATAGAATCAAAAATCAGTGAAACAGCTGCATTTCTGTAGTCCCCCTCCCCCCCCCGGAGCAAAATGTAAGCTGTTGCTAAGAGGCATCACTGCCGCAGCATGGAGGCAAAGTGTCCAGGACTCCGAATATTTTTCGTCCATCCGACGCCATTCATTTCAAAACTTCGAGTATCCCTGAAGCATTTGATCACGCGATCTTGTGGATCATATTTTGAGCGATGCGCAATGCACATGCTCCTCAAACATGGAGCATGGAATGTCCCATCCACGAAAGGGGCCTCGATGAGGTCCATCGAGACTAATGATAAGAAAGGGCGCCAATCAAATGAAACAAGTTCTTTCGATAAGCACTTCATAACTGGCAGATCGGATTGGGAGTCCCATTAAACGATTCCCCGTATTCTAAAGTTAATGAACATCATCGTAAGGCATTGATACGAATCGGTCAAAAAGCTCCGTGCCGCACACGATTGGTCCTTCTGCCCCAAAGGAAGAAAATACCATAATCATACTGAGTCCAGGAATGAACATGGCATGCAACATAAAGATCCATCTTTATTGGTGCCCATGCTTGCTGAAACTGTACCTTAATGAGAGACCTCGCAAGGGAAATAGCGTCCTGCGCCGCAGAACGGCAGAGCAGATGAAGAGGACTTTCGCCCTTGTTATTGCTGGTGTTTACCTTGGCGCTCTGCATTATGAACATCCTAGCAATGTCGGCCTCGCCTGGGACCACATAAACAGGTTTATGGCATAAAACTTTGTGCTTTGGGAAACGTTTCCATATCGTATGCCTTCATTACTTCAAGCAATGATTTCCGTGGCGGTCGAATTGGCCCCGCAGACGTCTGGCTGCTGGCAATTGCAGTATTGGGCAATCGTTTGATACATTGAAGTAGAGTTTCAAAATTTGAGGCGCTGCAGGCATCGTCTTTTTGTGGTGCGTTGGCGATGGCACACTCCAAGTTGAATGCCCTCAGCAGTGGGGACACCGAGCCTTATAAACATCGCATTCGATGTGGCTTGAAGTCTCTTTGGGGAAACAAGACCCCACAGACGGGCTCTTGGTTTACTGTCCACAAAGATTCGCATGTGGTGCATTGAGGAATTTGCAGTCGAGGACATCGGTGAGCAGGACTGTTGCTTATTCGCCAGCAGGTTTGCAGCAGGGAAAATAAGTGTATTTACTCAG